ATGAACTATATGACATAATTATTTATGTACACAGGATATACGAACGCTGCCCTTTTACACTTTTTATTACAACTTTAATATTTATATATGTATAATTGTGTATACGAGTATTACATTATAGGCATGGTTTGTCAACATGATCATCCAACACAAGAAATTGCCTGTACAATAAACAATCATTTTTCGCTATTTGTTCTTCAAGATAATTCGATTAATTCGTGATATTAATAAATAGGCATTTAGTTGTCCGCTTCGTATTTAATTTTATGAATTATATTCTATTTGATGTATTTCGAATGAAAAGTATATTGCAGCTGAGCTAAGAGAAACTTTTAGTTACGTATACTCTTAAAATTTCTTTAAATCCCCGTTTAATTTTCTCATTTATAGATACATTTGACTCAAATTTGATCAACTTGTGCTTACACTTTAAATCTTAAAAAATTTATTATAAAAAATTTCTTGTTAAAAAAAAAGAATAAATAAAATCATTGTAAAAATAATATTAACGGTAAAAAAATTAACTATAAATAATAAGTTATAGTAAATAATAAGAAATGAGAATAATTTGTTAAAACCGATTAGTCGGGGAAAAAAATGCCCGGTTTAGCCTTATAATTACATGATATTACGTTACGAAAAGTATCTTCTTCGCTTTGCTCTACAACAATTTATTAAATATTAACAAATTGTTTTGGCGCTCACATTATCTTACATGTACATTGTCGTCGGTAGCGCAATAATCGTACAATTAAAGTTCCGCCGATATTGACTTTTACGGTTAACGCTTTCATTTGAACATATACCCATTGTATTCTCTTTATAATATTTCATGTAATATTTTACACTCGACAATTAATTCGATAACACAGCTAATTGTACCAAGAGATAGTAGTCGTTCGGAAGAGGATAATATTTATCTGCTCTTGAATAATTTATTGGAGTAAAGCATCATTCTATAAGAGCATTGCTAAGTTACTTCGACTTTGGAATATTTGTTTAGACATAATGAAAACGTAAAAACCCTTTCATTGTTTGCTATTTATTATTAAAAGCTTCTTACATACAGCAAAAAAGATATCAATTCTAAATATTATTAATTTATTAATGATTATAATATGGTAAACATTTATAAATAATAATAATAATAATGATAATAATAATAATAATAATAATAATAATAATAATGATGATGATGATGATGATGATAATAATAATAATGATAATGATAATGATAATAACGTTTAAATTTTTATAGAAAAAAATTTATAGCTATTCGAATAGCTTTATCGCAAGTAATACAAACAATTATATTTTGTTTAAGCATATACAATGTTACTAATTAGATTTAATTAGAGAGAACTGTATTTGTTGAAATTTCGTTAAAGATTTTGAAAAACTATACGTCATTAAGAACAACACAAACGAAAATTAAATTACTTTATCGAGGCATTGAGAGGACCTTATGTTGAAATGTAAAGTTGATAAGTAAAAGAATTGTCTTACATCTGCACATCAGGAGCATAAATCAAAACTACGCATATGACTATTGTTTAATAAAGAAAAATAATTATAATCGTAATAGTCAACTATTTAAAATCATTAAGTTGTATAAGCCAGAAATTTTTTTTAATCAATTTTCGAATAAACAAACAAATCGTTTAAACTGAATAAGTTTGAGAATTAAAAAACACAGCAATAACAATAAAAACGAATATTATTTTATGTAAAAACAGTTATACGATTTATTTATTAAATATAAATAATATAAGGTTGACTAGATAAGCATTGAGATATTGTAATTTCTCATATTATGCTTATTCTCAACAGAAGCTAAGAGCTTTCACTCTTATACAATGAATCTTAACTCCAAAAAATTTTAGAAGAGAACTCGTGGACTATTTGTCTCTCTTTTCCCTCTATTTATGTTACGCATTTCCAAAAATGCAAACTGGACAAGATCTGTATAGAAAAATTTAGAGCGGTAGGCAAAATGTCTTAGGCCTCATAAGAACATAGAATTAATTAATAATGGGAAAAAGTGCAATATATTTTGGCAAATTTATTATTATTATTATTATTCATTTTCTTCTTCTTTTATTTTGTAACAGACATGGGCATTTTTTAAGTACAAATGTTAACGATCATCCATACTAAACGCTTAATTATACGATATCATTTATTGTATTAGAGAATCTACAAAATGCATTGAATTTTATTTGATTATCATACATCAATCAATAGGTAAGCAATCAAATAAAATAAAAATAATAATAATAATAAAAATAAAATACTGAACACATTTCTTACATTAAATATTTTAATATAAATATGTAAAATATATGAGATTTATCGTTTTATTTAATCTCTTCGTTTACTTATTTATCTGACAATAAATCCTAAATAAATAAATAAATATATTATTTATATAGCAATACCACTTATTAATAAGATATTAATTATCATTTTCCAGGTCATTAAAACTAGCTGAAATTGGTTAATATAATTAATGTAAATTAATGAAAACAACTTTATTATTAATTAAAATATACACCTTCTATAATTAATATTTAAATAATATATTTAATATATAGAGGCTGCATTTCTAGAGTAGAAAAGTTGACTTACCCTTATACTAAGATATTATTCAAATAATTTCTCAACTATTTAAATATATAAAAAAAAGATCTAATATCAAGTGTATAAAAAATAATTTATCCAACTACAACTAATATATATACGAATTTATTGATAGTACATAATACTCGTTCTTCAAAGAAAATTCAAAATATATTAAGGGAACAGTGTGCAACATCCTGTTTCAATATAATAAAAAAATAATTTATATAGTTTACGTTAAAGAACTTTCTTTCTCCTATTACAACATTTTATAATATGTGACTTAAATTTAACAACAGCAATTGTGAAAAATATTAAAACACAATATAAATGATTAATATTTAAATATATAAATAGCTTAACTTTAAATGCCCATTCCAATTTGTTATGAAAGATGACTTTTGAAAAATTGTCGGTTACTGTGAAGAGAAGAAAATACAAATAAGCAAAAATAATTAATTACTATACTGATTATAATCGATATATAATCTTCACAATGCTAATAGAAGAAAAATATTTAAACAAAATTAATTTAAACAAGTTTAAATGTTTGCCGATATAGTTCCATCGTTCCATTTTTTTTTCTCTTTTGTTATATATATATATATATATATATATATATATATATATATATTGCTTTTATAATTTAGTCAATAGAAATACAAAAGAAATTATATTTAGACTATAATAATATTTTCAATTCTTGGTTAAATTTCATTAATTATACTCAATATGTTGAGACTCTTAAACTTTGATATTGAATATTTTGACATTCTCAATCGATAAAATTAGATCTATTAATTGATACAATTTATCATTTGAAAATTTATATCACATTGCGTGATTGAAAAAAATTGAATTACATTGGAAAAGTAAATAGTCATAATATGTACATAAAAACTGTTTTTAATAAGAATTTAATAAGAAATTTTTTTACACAATTTATTTAAATATACCTTAACTTTTGATTTTATTGATAAAATCAAATTGCTTTATGATGTACTCATATATTATAAAGCCCATGCCTGTTTTACAGTACTATATACCCTCTTTTGCTTTTTTTTTTTTTTTAATGAAATATTATTTTTTTAAAGCTTACATGTAATATTTTTGGAAACATTTTTTCTAAAATTATTTATGATTAACGTAATCGTATATTTTAAATTTGTCATTGGTAATTTCGTCAGCATTTTATAATTTTGACAATTAATATTTTCTTACATATACCTTTATTACATCGTACATTTCATGGAATTTTATTATAAAAATAATTATTATCAATCATACAGGTCGCATAGTTCATAAAAATTAAACGACTAATATTTGAATTAATAATTAGTTTGTTTGTTTTAATCGTACCTCATAAAATTTTCTTGAATTATCCGTAAAAATTTTCAACGAAACTACAACCAAGAATGTATAAAAAAACTTATAATTATTTATTGCCTTTAAAAATATTACATGTTTTTACATATTTAAGTTTTCTCCTTTTTTTATTTTATTATTATTATTATTTTTTTGTTTTGTTTTGTTTTAATTACTAAAATATTCAATTTTAGATGTGTATTGAATCATTCTTTCTTTCTTTCTTTTTTTTAACTAGATAAGTAAAGTAAATTCGGACGTTTAGACATACGTGAAAAATAAATAAACAATTAAATAACTTCATTTCGCTTAATTAATGAAATAATTAACACGGTAAAATTAGTCATTGGAAGATAATATCTTTCTGATTACGCTAATGTAAAATTATTCATATAATACCCGTCAATTGTAAATCAATTCAATATTATCATTATATTGTAATATAAATATAATTGTAAATAAAAAACTATTAAACTTCTTGGAATTCCACAAGATACGAAAATAAATTACATTTCCGTATAATATGATTTACTGTAGTAAATTATAGCTTGGAAGCGATGATTATAAAGAATCATCGTCAACAATTGAATTAATAAGAACAAATTCATTCATCTCGATATTATTTCGAAATGCTTTATTGATCAAATCCAACTGAACTTTAATATTTCGTGATTAATAAGACTATTATTTTACTAAAATTGAATCATATTACGTTGTACTATTTTTATTTGGAATAAGAAAAATACTTGTAGTAGTGGTGGTGGTGGTAGCGATAGTAATAGCGATAGTAGTAAAAGTAACCATTCGAAAGTAAATTATTTAATTCGATTTGAAAATTTAGATTGAGTTAGATATGAGAATGATAAATTATGTAATAAAAGAGTGATGGAGGGATGGAGGGATGGTGTGGGGAGAGTGTGTGGGGGGAGTGGAGGGGGGGGCGACAATGTTTTCAAGGTTGCGTCATGGATCGGATCTCGTTATTAATCTGCATTTACAATTATAATTGCGTATCTCGTGCTAAAGAGTCGTCGGAAAAAAAAAACTCGATCATCATCTCCTGGACAAAGTAGGGAAGAGCTTGAGTCGATGGATGTTCATCGGGATGGTGTAGAATGGGCCAATAAATACCCGATGCCTATCACGAGTAACGAAGATCGAAAAATCGCTCGCTACAACCCAAAAGCAATCGACAAAGCTCCTGTCAAATCCATGACGCCGACATCACCGTCATTCGGATGATTTTCATATCCGCAGGTGATGGGCGCAGCAGTGTAAAATCAATGACACCGAAGCTGCCACAGCATCCCATAAAGAGGAAGATATACTATAAATACGGAAGCGCAAAAACGTAAATGGGCTACTTGAGGTCGAGCTCGAGCTCGAGCTCCGGGCTCTCGAGGACAAAAGGTTTCAGGCTCTCAACGATGGGCGTCTGATCGGGGTCGACCTTGATCCTGATCTTGTTGGTTTCGAGGGAGCGTGGTAGCGTCCTCGGGAGCTCGTCCTTGTAGGTAGGTCCGGGCGGCAATCCGTAGGGCACGTAAATGCGCACGATGTCGGGGCTCGGCTGATGGGATGAGGCCCGGGGCGTTGGGAGGCCGCCGCTCCCCGAGCTGCCGACGCTCACGTTCGACTGGGTGTCGAGGCTGTTGTCGAGGGCCTGGCTGCGCGTAGCCGAGCTGAACACCGAGAGGTCGGCCGTCGAGGTGACGGACGTGTCGGCGAGGGAGCGCCGCGAGCCGTGGGGCGAGGCGCAGCAGCCGTCGGCCAGACTCGGGTCGAACGAGAACTTGCTTCCTGCACACACCAGCACACGCTATCGGTTCATGCCTCGTCACACTCGTCCCTCCTCCTTCCCGCCCCCGTAAAAGGTACCCGCGTCTGTATGCATACGTGCGTCTCGTCGTTGACGCTCCGACTATTCACCGACGACGAGTCTCTCGAAGCTCTCCTCAGTCGTATCTTGGCGCGCCTTTGTCGCTCCTCCCGCGATATTATTGGCAAATTCAAATCGGATTTCAGGTTTTATTTTAATAGGCTTTTGGCTTCTTTTTTTTCTTTTTCTTTTTTTCTTCTTCTAAAGAATATGGACGTCGGGAGCAGCTTTAATCATTATATATCGCATCGCGCTTCTCTTCTAATGGCCACTCCACGCGAATTAATTAGTGAAAATTTATATGCACGCCGCAATTTTATATAAGAATATTGATCGAGAAATAAATAAATCAAAAATGAAAATAAAAAATAAAAAAAAAATTAAAAAAAAATAAGAGAGAGAGAAACGCGTAATGTCGAATGTATAATATGTCTATCATACGATTATAGCCAACGATGGAAATAATAAGGTGAACAATGATATAGCGATGTACTTATTGTTTCTTATTGATAAATAAATATGCGTGAAAAAATATGATATATGATACACGATATAAATATAACTAAGAAATAAATTAAGAAACGTAATATAAAATTATGTAACATTTATATTAATAATTCAACAATATTAAGCCAAGAGAAGCACAAGCATTATTTGGATGAAAATTATTACTGTGTTTATTGTCAACTGGGTGCAACATACAAACAACAGTTCAATACAAACTTTTTAGCTTTATTAGTAGGAGAACATTACATTTCACGGTACTAAAAATCATAGTACTTTAAAGCTTTAACAATATTTTATACTCACATACAAACTTATTCCATTTTAGTTCACTACACAATGCACTCTATATTCTAATAACAAATATTACTTACAGTACAGCATATACACAAGTTTTACAAAACTGACTATACAAATCAAATATATAATAAATAATTGTAAACAAACATGCGTAAAATAATAAATCTTAAAATTTATATTAAGCCTCACGTTCATGACTATTACTGATACAATTATTAAAAAAATATTATTGCCTTTTGATTGATGTCATTACTTATTTAGTCTTATGTTTATATTAAACTACTTAACTTTGACAAGTGAGAAAATTTTAAAATAATGTTCAAGACCTAAGACTTTAAGCTTCATAATACTACATTTATAAATTATCAAGCTATTTCTCAATAATCACCTTTATTACGTTCAATTTGTATTAAATATTAATTGCTCTAATACTTTCTTTTTATATATATATATATATATATATATATATATATATATAATATGTTGTAAAATTGTAGATTAACAACGACAAAAACAACAACAACAACAACAACAACAACATCAGCAATAATAATAATAATACTTTAATAGTTAAAATTAGACGCATTGACAACGTCATTGTGAAGTAACGGAAACTTAAAAATTTAAGATTTTATTTTTAATACGAATTTTTAGTTGCTAATTTTATTTAATAATACAACATTTCAGCATTACACATCGGTCATTCAAAAGATATTAAATATGTGATGAATGTTAACTACAAAAATTAATTTCTCTTTTTTTTTTTTTTTACTTTAATCCATTTGAACGTTATGCATTAACATTGTTATCGCATGCTAAAATGAAAGAAAAGAATCTAATTTTTCTGTGTAAAATTGTCCCGATACAATTAACTATAACTACATACATTTTATAAGTATTTAAATTAAATGGACCGTTTCAAATATTTTCTGGCGATGACATTTTGCTTATAATTCGTATAAGAAATATAAAATATTTATCGCGTCATGATCAACCGAATATATCAATCTGGTTAAATGTATGTGCAGAATTTTTAAAAATTCGTCTGTAAGCCAATAGCGCTTTCAAATTCTGATTAATAAGTATAATGTTTATAGAATAGTAAATAACAAAATGAAATATATACAATCAATAAAACCTTATATGACGTTGTTAATTATACGATAACGATTAAGAGGCTTAAAAATATTGATGTATTTACAAATAGTAAATCAAAAAGAACTTGTTAAATAATCATGCCTGACCCCGACCGACAGAAAGTTTTATTTCACACGCCATGCATCAAGGAAGAAAGCAAATTCGATCTTTGTAAAGAAAAACGAGAGAATATAAATAAATTATTAGCAAGTGTTAGTATAAAAAAAAAAAAAAAAAAAAAAAAAAAAAAAAAAAAAAAAAAAAAAAAAAAAAAATCAATATATTTAAGGGTGTGTAAAAGTTATTTTACAAATGGTAAGGTTGTATTAACAGATATGTTTTGTTTATTTTCAAAAATTATTTTACAATATTCAAAATCCATCATTTACATTTTTTACAATGTTTCCGTGGTAATAGTTTGAGTAAATGTCGTGAGTTAATAATTTTACAAATTTAATGTGCATCCACAACTGCAATTTATTAAGTAAGGGCATTTTGAAAATTGCAAAATAATATTCGTGAACATCGAAATACTTTCATTATTCATGCATCATTTGTTCGTCGAGAAAATTTCAATTTCACAGCCTCTTACTATTTATATATTAGATAGTGTATATTTTTATTGGAAAAATTGTCGATACTTGTCTATGCTAAATAATTTATTACATTATCTATGATGTAATATGTATATAATATGGTATGGAAATATACAAATCAATTTCAGGAAAACATACATATTACAATGACTTTTCTCAAAATAAAATAAACATTTTTCTGTATGAAAAATTAACGAATTTAAACTAAGGAAGAAAAGTAAAAAAAAAAAAAAGTAAACATTTTTTTTTTCTATTTATGGCTTTTTTTTTTCTTTTTATAATAAATATGCGAGGATTTGTTATAAATAACTACTAATCGACTTCACAAAATACGTTTCTACGTTTAAAAAAAAAAAAAAAAAAAAAACAGCGTCACTTCGTACTTATATCGTACGTTCAAAAGGCACTAAATATCAATTCTTTCATTACATTGCTGTTTAAAAAATAGAAAATTATTGAGTAACATTTACGTTTTAAATAGTAGATAATTAAAAATATAAGATGTAGATAAGCAAATACGTATCTAAAAATAGATATATTTATCTTATTGCAAACGAGTTAGAGATGGCCACGCTAATCACCTTTGTAAGTCAATTTAAACTACGTATGACCAAACGTCTTTATCCAGTACCTTCTAAACGAAACATATTCATGCATAAATCTTTTGCGAATATTGGCCCGATCTCACTGTACACCACAATTTATACTCGCAAGCGACTATAATAAATGTTGAATAATTGATAGAAAAATAGAATTATAGTCCATCTTTTTCAATAAGGATGTGGTATGCTTGAAACCCATTATGAGTCGTCCATCCAATCAGATTATATAGATTAGACATCACATCACACGTATTGCTGATCAAATTTAAATGCATAAGTCGTTCGTTCTCAAGATACTTATGAAATCACACAGTATTAAAATTCAGATAATGTCACGAGGTATTTATCACGATTGGATTTATAATACAACGACAAGAATAGGCAGATGAATTGAAGAAAATAAAAAATAAAATAATATGTACTTGGTACACGCGACGCTAGTCGATGCTTGAAACTCAAATTAAGTAATCATTTCATGCATTAACGTGCCCAGCTTTGAAAGGCATAGATAATCCTCGAAAGAAACGAGAAACTATAAATGGCCGTAAATTTTCGTACATCATCAAATACAATAAGATTCTTCGCATAGAGAAACTGACGATAATATAAATAAAGCCTCGGAGCTTGGCTATGTGGCGTACAAATGAAAGTATAGTATAATGAAACGAAGGGAACAGAAGAAAAGTTTCAAGCCATCACTCTTCATAGTCGCGTGTTATAGATGAGTATAACATTTATGTTGGAGTCGATAAGACTATTGTCACGTACTATGTCCTTGCCATTCATGTTATCGGGATTATTAGCAGTACTAGTAGGGGTAGTAATAAAAGTTGTAGTGGTAGCGGTAGTGGTAGTGGTAGCGTTAGTGGTAATAGTAGTTGCAGTAGCAGTAGCAGTAGCAGTAGCAGTAGCAGTAGCAGTAGTAGTGCTAATGCTAGTGGCTCCGATAGTAGTGGTAGCGGTAACGGTGGTAATAGTGGAACTAGTCGTGCCAAAGTCAGTTGTGTATTTTTCGCATTCGTGGTCATTGTCCAGGAGTAGTGACTCACCACCGAGGCTGCTATTGGCGCCGCAATTGTTCGCCATCGCCATTTCGGTTGGAGTCGCGCTACTCTCGCGGCTCTCCTCTTCTATCACAACCGTCTGACGTCGTTGAACCACGGACTCGCGCATCAGCTGCTGGGCCTCACTGAACTCGTCCGCCCTTCTTCCCACCTGATTCGTGTACAAGCAAAACCAAAACAATCAAATTAGCAATCGTTTACAGCGCCCACGGGGAGAGTAGGAGGAGGGTGAGATTCATCATTACTCTCTAGCATAGATTGCGACAACAATTGAGTAAGCAATAACTCGAGTAAGAACAGTCCATCCAACTGTCAGTTCGTTCATTTCAAATATTCTCATTTTTAATGCAACTGATTAATTGAATATCATGATTTGTCGATCGTTCTTCTTGGTAAATGTTGACGATAATAAAGAAACGTAAGCTCTTCTGATTAAGATTTTGGCATTTGAATGGTTGTATAAATGACCGTCCTACATCGGTAAATCTCACGTTCGTTAAAAAATTTTCTTTACATCGTATAAATTATATTTTACATCCGTACTTACATACCGATACTTAAATACTTCATTACGAACTTTATACCTGTCACAAACTCATCAAATTTATTATTATAATCTTATCGATGCTTTCAGCAGTTAATATGTCAGTGCCACGTAACGATAGTATTTGTAAATACTTTAAGACAAGAATTTTTTATACGTATTAAGAGAAATATTGCTCATGCTCTGCTGTATTTTTAACTTCAACGAATTCTTAATACGTATAATCATATACCCATTTTGTTGCAATAATATTGAAAATGTTATTTTGTAATTTTCACAAAATATAATAATATAATAATAATATTTCAATAAACAATATTTTATACACGAATAAAACTTCTTAAAAACCAAATTGAATTGAAGTTCTTTACATCTAAAAGAGCGCGCATTTGTTACAAAATGTTGCTGCTTTTGACAAATAATTATGAATATAATATAATACATCTCCAACGATACATTGACTAGCAAAATTAATGAGCATTAACATATAATCCGTATTTTGTATTATTGACGTCTATATATTTATTAAGTCTTGACAATGCTTGAGTTAATTGTTATTATTATTTCGCTGCATATCCATACAATAAATATAAAGTTACGCTTCACTATTGCACGGTATGAAATTATTAGCATTATGTTTTGTAAATTAAATTTTAAAACACGATAGGGAAAGTATAGGTACAAATCTTCACTATCTGTTCTTGGAATTCAATTTTATTAATTTAATATTTAAGTATTTATGAGTGATCGAAGAAAGTTTTTATAAGATTTTATAAGATAACGATAAAATTGTGCAATTGAGTGTGAAAGTAATCGATGATCTATAAATTTATTATGAGGTGAAAATTATTATTTATCGGTTATAGTTTGGAATTCTTCTTTTTTCCTTCTTCTTTATTATAATATATTTATCTATTTCCAAAGTTTTTAAATATTTAAATAGTTATGTCATTATGGAAGCAACAGAATTTTTTTTCTCTCCAAAGCTAATTACTTGGATTATCTAATTTAGAATAAACATGTAAATGACCGACATTAGAATAAACAAAATAATGACATTATTAAATAATTAGACATTATTTGGATTTTTAAGCATTCTCGTATTCTCATCATCTCGATCACATCGGCAAATACATAAAGTGATCGCTTATTATATTAAGGCATCGATGTCTTTCGAACTATCTTTAACGAAATTATTTGTTACATGACATTTACAGCAAATATTTCATGTATTTGGGACGGTATATTTGAGCTTAGCTAATTTATGTTAATAAACGTCGTATGAATATAAATTGAAATGGCAAAAATTAAAAATTAGTAATACAAAAGAGAATTATATTTAAATATTTCACATTAGCATGTGAAATAAAAATTATGTGCAAAATAAAATTTGGTATTTGTTTGTTTGATATCTATTTCTATTATTATTTCATTAAAAACCAAAAAAAAAAAAATTCTTTTAAATATTAAAATTTTATATATATATATATATATATATATATATATATATATATAATAATCATTAAATTTTTTTTTCCATCATTTGACAAAATTATAGATTAACTTTTTATTTTAGAATTCCAAAAGAACATAAACTTTAAAATGCTTGATTTTAATCGTTCGTATTCTAATATAACTTTTAAGCAACGAAACGCCTGAGCTTTAAAATATACCAACAAATGATATTAAACAATAACTTTGATCTGAAAAATCCTAGGAGTGTCTCATTCAATTAATTATCTTTATCGCGTGTTAGCTCCCACTTAAATACAATTACCAACGACTTTGATCTATGTCACGTTGTTATCTTGTTATCTTATTACAAATGTTTACAATTACAATATATCTACCTCATAATTGAAGATATGACATACGTCATGAAGCATGCCAATAATATCGCGATTAAACTTCATCTCGATAAATAAAATTTAATAAACTTACACTACTCGCTTCTGATTTTACTCCCAATCAGCAGACGGGATTATTGAAATAATAATGCCATTATTGCTAAATTACCTTGCTCGTGAATGTGGGCTCCTTGAAGGTGCCAAAGGGCTGTCGCGGAATCTCGTGTGGCAATGGCGGACCTGGATAGTCGAGCTTGGAACGCTTCAACTCGTCTATGCTGCGCTCCACGGTGTTGATGACCGTATCATCGTCATATCCAAAGTCCTTTTCGAGCTTTATTTGCAGATAATTGCAAAACTCATCGAGGCTCTCCATTGTCATCAACTGACGCTTATGCATTTTCATCACCGTGTATGCGATTGCGGATAATATCCGATCGCCTTCTAAGAGAAATATATCCCATATACGTAGACCGAGACTTACTGGTGTCTATTAAAAATAAAAGTATTAAACATAAGTAATGAAAAATATTTAAGATTTATGAAATATTTGTCACCGTTTAAATAATCATGATTGAAATAATAATAATAATAATAATAATAATAATTGTAATAGTAATAATAGTAATAATAATAATAATAATAATAATGATAATAATAATAATAATAATAATAATAATAATAATAATAATAATAATAATAATAATAATAATAATACACAAAGTTATTGATATTGACAAGGGTTCTAAAGGTAGTTATTCAATAGTGGATCGAAGGAAAGTCTTGAAACTTACTCTTTCTTGAAATACAACGAAAAACCACTTTAATGCGTAAAGTATAGAGTCACAGCCGCACTTATCCAGTTTACGTTTCAATTTTGGAAGGAACTTGGTCATTATTTTGTCATGGTGTTCTATGAAGCGATTCAGCTTCGGAAAACCATCTACGTAAAATCCTATAAAAATAAAATACTATAATACTTGAAATTCTTACGGTATTAAGTCCGAATTAAGAACTTTTTCTACACGGGTATAAAGTCTATTTGTGTTTGTGAGTTCTAATAAGCTTACCATGCATACTGTATTTCTTATCGGCGAGTAAAACGGATAATCCCCAAAATGCTTCTTCCTCGTCCATGTACAACAAGAGTAGTCCCGCCAATACAGACATGCCTTGGCAATATCCAACTTCCATATTATACATACTATAAGCTGCCAAGACATAGAACATGGATCTCTGTTTGAGACTATACCTTTCCCTGAAATAACAGCAAATTATGATAATTAGAAATTACCGATAACCAAGCCCTACATCCGTACATTTTCACATACAATTATTCAATTTAAGTAAAGAGAACTTTGTTAATACGTTTCTTCATTACCTATAATTAATGTGATCCCTATATTGTCTAGCCACATCGGCATCAATTTGTCTAATCTCGGTAGACCACTGACGGGCAAGAGATAACATCTCCTCGTACTTTCCCACTTTTTCATGTTTTAACTTTGTAATACCTAAGAGACGAATCCAAATTTCACCTCTAAACCTATCGGGTATGCCCTTATAAATTCTACGTCTCAATTTTTCCTTTGTTGCAGTCGTATCCCAATGCTTATTCATTTTATCCCACTTTTTTACCCTCTCCATCTCAACATGATGAAGTTTAATTTCATTCTGATCCATTTTCTGTGGTAACCGCTTATCACTAGAACATAAGCAAATGGAGGGGTAATCTTTGATTATGGATGCCCATTGCATTATCTAATATGTAATGTACATATTGCGCATCGCTATATTACAAAATTATAGAAGCAATGTTAAACATAACCCACTGTATGAATCCATATCTATCCGTGGTATGATAGACCTCGTAGGCAGGATCCTCCCAAGGATCAATTTCTGCGCCATTCTCCCTACCACGGTCATAGCAGCTGAATATTCTATCCCGTTCTGCAGCAGACCGTTTTAATAATTCTTCCTCGTTCATTCCACGCTAGAGTTGGTAATATCCAAACTTGTACGCATGCCGTTTTGTGATTAATCTCTTTTCTGGTATCTTTGATTAAGCAGCAGCTTCTATAAACATTGAATAAATTATCTTAATTAGCGGATATTCAAGCAATTATAATATAATTAATTGTAGAGAAACATTTGGTTTAATAAGAGGTTTACGGCACACGAGACATATTATTAGGATTCAAATATTAAGTATCGAAGAAAGATTTTATTATTTAACGGTTATTGTCTTTGTTTGAGTTTAATGAAACTGTAAATTTGTTTAAATCGAACAATAATGGAGAGATCGTGAATCATCGATTATAATTATAATCACCATATAATATATTAAAAATATCAAGTGTCAATGGATACATCTCGTAAGCAATGATAGCAGACACGCATATGTATAAATAATAAAGACTCGACAAGTTTTACTTTTAATTCCATAATATTTATAATCCTTATAAATGGTAAAGAAATCATGGTAATTTGTTTAAAAATTGTAAATTATTATTGTAATTTTTAATTAATCTTGAATGAGAATTCTCTACAATAATTGACTTATTGCGACGTTGAGGCAAAGAGCTCTTTTATTAAATAAGTGATTTTGATGGAACTTGTCATATAAATTATCCTGCAATTCTTTCAGTTAAATATAAAAGATATTTACAAGCAATGTATAAAAGCAAATAGAGAGCTCGTCCGTGTAAAGCTCATTTTGTATCCGAAAACTTTTTCAATTATATATCAAATTTATGAAATCACAACGATTATACGAATAATAACAAATTAATGCCAATGCGTAATAACAATTAAACCTGTGCTAATACAGCTGTTTCTTAATTTAAATAATTTTAATGACTTTAATTTAAGATTTCTTTTTTCAATAATGAATGACTCAGTTATACAATAAATGACGTATTCAAGCCTCGGTGCTTAATGCGAGGTAACGATATAAACATGCGATTAATTAATGCTAATGGCACTCGTTCATTTTTGGTAAAAATTTATAATCAACCCATAGGCTTGTATTGTAGCATCCGTAACTCCAAGCAGAGCATTCGTTAGGCAATGCATGGAAAGGAGAACCGAAGGAATCTCAGCTGAGAAATAGTCCATCCTACGCGGAGAAAATCATTGGAATAACAGTGAAAAAAGTTATGACAAAGCTCGATCGATCGATCTAAGCTTGCACTGGATGATGCACACTATGCACTTACACATTCGCTACGGCCGAGGTAAATCAGAACGATTCAACAGCAGATTTGGTCATCCTTTCTGGAATTAATCACCCATCTTGCGATTAATCTCCCGACCAACTCAAACGCGCACCTCCTCGGCAATTTATAAATAAGAAAGTAAAGTAAACGCCATATGTACGACGCCGAGAGGAAGAAGGAAAAGGTTAGAGACCTCGGGCGGGCAAGTTTTAAGCTCGCGACCGACAATAAAATAGGCCATGAGATATCTCGGCCTTGGTCGACCTGTCATGCACGGAACTCCTCGAGCCCAACGTCAACAATCGCTCCCAGACATCCCCTCTATTTAACATTCCTTGTGCCAATACTCCAAATGGTACTCACAACTGTTGACAGTCGTCCGCGCGTCATGTTCCTGCTTGTTTTCCTCTCCCGCTCCCCTCGGTCGTCGCGCAACCACACTCGCTCTCTCTCTCTCTCTCTCTCTCTCTCTCTCTCTCTCTCTCTCTCTCTTACGCACACGCACACACAACTCCCTATCTACCTCACTCTATCTCTCTCGTACACTCGCGCACTCGTGCTCTCGTTCTCTCGTTCTCTCGTACTCTCGTACTCTCGTACTCTCGTACTCTCGTACTCTCGTACTCTTGCACTCTTGCACTTTTGCACTCTTTCTGTTGCCTCCCTTGTTATCTCGACATGGCTGGGAGCAGCTGTCGCGGCTCGATCCTCTCTCTCCCGTTCCTCGGCGCTCGCAGCCTTCCGCACTTGGTCGGCGGACAGCGAAATCGATGATGCACCACCGGACGTCGTCGGCTACTTGGTCACCATTGGCCCTAACCGAACCGCACTGCCCGGGCTCGACTTCCAGCCAAGTCTTGCACACGCTCTCTCAATCTCCCGGACACTTTTCCTCATTCAGAACCCACTGCACATGCTTTCCCGCCCGTCGGCAGACAGACTTGGAAAATCGACTTGGCCGTGGTTGGCTTGGCGTGCAACTCGCCGCCAGTCCTCCGACTCGGTTTATTCGCTTCTCGCCTTCTCTGTCCCCGTTGCGTTTCAATGCGCGCTCATGACAGTGAAACCAATCGACAACAGTTTTCGACGACCTCCTCCTCCCGTTCCCGCTCCCGCTACCGCTCCATTATACATAAATATTATTGGCTCCGCTTCTGTCGCTCTCCGGCGCGCCCGTGTGCGTGCACACATGTGCGAACCGCCCAGTCGAGTCGTCGTGCCAAAGGAGCAGAGGGACGATCGAGGTGATTAGATAGAGAGGGGCGGCGATGTTTCGGCCACGTTTGCGATTACGGTGTTTTTCGCCAGATCCTTCATTACCTCTCTCTCTCTCTCTCTCTCTCTCTCTCTCTCTCACTCCCTCAATCACACCGCACACGGTTATCCCTACCAGGCTCTCCTTCTCCCACTCCCCGCACTTGGTGCACACGAGGCACATATATAGCACTGCGCGTATCATAATCACGCTCGTGCTTGATTGAAAGAACACATCGCGAGAGTAAGAGAGTAGAGAGAAAGAGAGAGAGAGAGAGAGAGAGAGAGAGAGAGGGAACGAGAAGAAAAAAGAGGATTGAGGAGTCTAGGCGCTGGAGGAGAGTGCTGTTACATTTTTCGGCACGTGTAATGGCGCGTACTTTTGAAGAATCAATCAACAAGATGAACAAAAAAGTAATATCAAATCAACACTTTTAACGGAGAAATTCAATTTCCAATTCGGCATTATCATGCACGTGCGAAACAAGTGTCAAATAAGTAACGATCCGTAAATAACGAAATGCTATTTAAACGCGATCGATGTATATGTGCATATAAACGCCCGCGCGCGCATACACGTAATATACGTTTAATTAGAGAAAAAAAAAAAAGAAAAGTACTTAGGCATATGAATTATTTAAATTAATCTTGAAATGTTGCGATGAATTGAAATTTTTTTACAATTATGTATTAATGCAGTGTGAGATGTACGTAAGAAAGAGAAAATATGTATACACTGTGGTGGTAAAAACTAAGTGATTATTAACAAATTATTTTCTACAACAAAAAAAAAAATATATATATATATATATTAGAGATATTAATTCACAACTTTCTTAAACAACAACATAATTAGCCGTTAAAAGTTACGTCTACATTATCTCTTTGTGCTCATTCTCATAGTTTTCCTACCAAATCCATAAACAAAGATTAAAGATCTTTATAACATTAATTTAACTCAGACATTTCTATTCAAAGCTCGATAATATAATACTTTGTAAAGGCGGCTTCTTTAATTTATTCAATAAATTTATTAATTTAATGCAATTTCACACATAATTCAAATTTTATTCGACTCGTGTTATATCTAATATTTTACAACAACAACAACAACAACAACAACAAAAACAACAACAACAAAAACCAAATTAAATCTCGGTGTGCCTTATTCAGATATTATGCGACTTCATTTATATTATTATCATTAAAATGCAAATAATTCCTCAAAATAATGTACTCGAGTATTAAAAATATGAAAGATGCTTGAAACTAAGGTGCAATTATGCAAAAGAATTTTTATTCCAAGGCTTTTGAATTTCGATATACGCTATTCGAGTGTAAGAAATGCAAGAGGAGTCGCACGTTTTTAATATGCGACTTATAAAAGCAATAATTCAAAATCATTTTAAGCATTTAAAATACCTGATTCATATTACCTTGACGGGTTACAAGAAAAATGAGTTTTATTCAATTTGCATTAACTCGATCGAACAGTCTTATTCTGCAAAAACATTAACATACTGTTTTTTTTTTTTTTTGTTTTTTTTTGTGTTTTTTTTTGTTTTGTTTTTTTTTTGGGTTTTTTTTTTTGTTTTTTTTTTTTTTTTTTTTTTTTTTTTGTTTTTTTTTGTTTTTTTTTGGTTTTGTTTTTTTTGTGTTTTTTTTTTGTTTTTTTTTTTTATAACATATGCATCGAATATTTATACGAATACAAAATTGCAAAAATTAATTTATTTCTTAGATAATTTAAGAAAAATATTAGAATAAAAATTATAAAATTTATACGTTTACGTATCTATTTTTATTTCTATGCCACGCATCTAAAAATATATATTTTTGACTTTTAAATTATTGTCACACTTACGCGCATATATCATTTTCACGTTATTTATATTTTATTTGCGATAATTGTATCATTTTGCAAAGACTAAGCCTTGAGCAAAAAATTAAGCTTTAAAATTATTGTTTTTAAAAATTACACATAAGTCACTTGACATATTGTGTACACGAGTCTATTTGAATTTTCACAACATACGTTGTTTTTCGTTTGTTTTATTAGTCATGTATTTATAAATTCTTTTGTTTATGCTAAAAATTCGAACAATAATCTTATCGTTAACTCTTTGTTAATTAAACTACGATAATGATTGAAAAAAATAATGAAAAAAAAAATATTATATTCAAATTGTACGCGAATTAATCACATTACATTTATATTATATGCTCAAACTTAAATTGCCTAAAGTCTATTCAGAATCAATAATCATTAAAATAATCATTAAAATAATAATTATAATCAGAAAAGAATACGTCTGAACATATAAATGTTGTTCGCATAAAACAATTTGCAATTTCTTATTAATTATCGTATATTCGAGACTGAGAAATTCTTTTCTTCTAAATTGATTTAACGATCTTAACGAGTCTTAATTGCTAATTTAATGTAAAATTAATCAATTGACGAGAATCCTTTATTACATTTATAAGCAGTATAAAAACACATTTTTAAATTAAAATCAAACAACTGAAAAACCATATAATCGTTTTATATTATTCAACTAGTTGAATGAATTTTTAATTATTCAAAAACGTAGGAATAAATAACTAATTCCAACGAATTTACAAATATATCATCCCAATAATTGTACATTAAACAAAATTCTTTTAAATTCAAATAAAATGTTTGTAGAAAAATATAAATTTAAATATATATATATATATATATATATATATATATATATATATATATATATATATATAGAGAGAGAGAGAGAGAGAGAGAGAGAGAGAGAAAGAACGATAAAAATGTTATTTCAATGAACTTTCAATTTTCTTGAATTAATTAATTTAATATGAGGGCGTAGCATGATTATACCTACGCGTATAAAAAAAAATTTTTAATATTTATATTTAAACACAGATTATTTATTACTCGTCGATAAATATATCATTTATTATAGGGAACAATTAAATTTATCCAACATCTTTGCCTAATGCCGTCATTTTAATTATAATATTAAAAACGATATATACAAAAAACAAATACTCTGTTTACACGTCTACGCAGATAAAATTGCATATATCGATTCTACAAAATTTTATAGCAGCATTTAAAAATTGAAGATTTATTCAAATTTTAGAAAATTATAATATTTTCCATTGATTAACGATACAAGCAGATCAATACAATGTATAAAGAAAATCATCTTCCAAGTTAAATAGTATTGAAGGGAACTGTAGGATAACGTTATTCCTCAGTGAGCCAACAGCGGTGACGAAGAGATCGTCGTCACGATGTCCAAGTACAGAAGTACTAAAGTCAGTCGATCTTCGTGCGCAAAAGTATTGATCGGCACAGAATATGGGCGCATGCGCCCAATCGTTGATAGAGGTAAAGCTCCGTCTGGGGTTGTCTCTCAGAGCGTTGAGCCATGTGCGGTGACTGGGGACCGGAGATGATCCTCCGGGTGCTTGCGGCGGTCCTCCTTGCCATTGGTTCGGCCGCCGATGAACGCCTTCAAGTTTGCATTGACGGCTTCGTCGTCCACAAAGACAAGATCATTAGGACGCAAGATTCAAGAAATATGGGTGCCAAGTACCTTACCGTCGTCGACGTCGAGGCTAGAATCGACTGCATGAAGTGGTGCTGTGAGACAGAGCACTGCGACGTGTTCATTTTCGAGGAGAAGGTACTTGTCCATCCTCTTCGATTAATCCTCTCATTAATTAGAAATCGAGCGGCTTTAGGATCTACTATATTTAACAACTACAAAATCTAACAGACTATAATTACCGAAAAGTAAACAAAGCCTAATGAATTCTATATATATATATATATATATATATATATTCTCTACATTCGACAAAAAACGTAACGATATCGTATTAATCATGATATTTCTATCGATGATTCTCTACTTAACCTTTTACACTTATTCAACTTCAATATTAATGATTTAGCGAGATCTTTTACACAGAACGAATAATTTCTTTAATAATAGAACAATAACCACAGAACAATAATAATAGGTATCGGACTATCATAAATATTGGAAAATAATGTCTTGCTTTTATTCATTGGAAAGGTGTCGTTTGATATTTTGATCAATTGATTTCGGAGATATCGCTTATAAACAAATAAGTATGCGTAAGAATTGTAGATTACAACAAAAATTCTACAGATTAATGCAATTCTAAAATCAATGTAATTTTATAACAGAAACCAGGAAGCTGTTATCTATTTCATTGTGGACCACCACAAGATTTCAAATGCAAATTCACATCCCATTTGAATTACAGCAGCGCTGTACTGACGAATTATAATCTCCAAAACACCGCTGCTTTAGAAGAACAAATTCGTCGAACCGAGCAGGAACATGAACTTCAATCCTTACGGTAAATCTGGATCCATATTTATTTCATTGCTCTAATGATCTCAAATATCAATCATAATATATTTCGCGTTGAATTATAGAAAAGTAGAATCGCCATCCAAGGAATACAGTTACTATACTGAGCCGCCAACTATAACTTCAACAACTATTGCTTATGTACCACTTACTCTATCAACGCAATCGGCAACTGTAAAAAGTAAATAAAAAGTAATATTACGTCTTTATTCATGAAACAGCAACAAACTACTGCTACCACTATTATCATATAATACTTCATATAATACTTAGAATTAGCGACGATACTTAACAACATAATAAAATAATATCAAAAAATTATAACATAATTATAATAATATTGGCCATGTGTTTGTTCATTTTTATTTTTTTTGCATTCGCGGTCAAGCGTGCAGTCATAATCAGTTCGAGTGTCGCTCGAGCGACGATTGCATAGCCATATACAACGTCTGCGACGGCATACCCCAATGCACGGATGGCTCGGACGAGGCCACCGACCTCGGCTGCCCCGTTGACAAGACTACGATTGCACCGCCACTCTCGTCCCTGTCACCCATCGCCGTCTCTCCCAAGCCGTACGTACTACTACCTCAGGAAGTTTTCAGGTACCAGCAAATGATTCAGAAACAGCAGCAACAACAACAGCAGCAGCATCAGCAGCTACAACGACAACAACAACAACAACAACAACAACAACAACAACAACCACCACCACCACCAACACCACCACAACCACAACCACAAGAAGAACAAGAGCAAGAACAAGAGCAACAGCAACAACAACATCAGCAGCAAGAGCAGCAGCAGCAAAAGCAACAGCAGCAGCAGCAGCAGCAGCAGCAGCAGCAGCAACAGCAGCAACAGCAGCAGCAACAGCAGCAACAACATCAACATGGACAAGTGAAAAATCGTTCTAGAAAATAATTCAAAAGCGTCATTTGCAACAATAATAGCAATATTGCAGCAATACACTGGCTGACTGTAAAAAAGATATTAAAATTTTAAAATGTCTTTTAAATTGCCTTTGTGCAAACAAAAAAAAAAAAACAAAACAAAACAAAACAAAACAAATTTTTACCACTGCAATGCACAGAAATTTAGAATATTTGAAAAATGATAAAACGTTAAAATAACAATTTCATATTTTGTACGGTCGTTCTTTTATTAGAATCTTTAATCTAGAAATGTTATGAAAATGTCCAGGTGCACTTTTAAATGGCTTTGCAATGCCGATGCTTCATTAATCCTTATCACATTCATCATTCACGTGTAAAGGACCCATATAGAAAAATCATATCGAAATAGTGTTATCATTGTATGATTAATCGAACATTACGTTTTCATTGATTTTCATGACTAACAACTAGTACTCGATGATATACCCCGAGAGACATAGTCACGAAGGCGCTAAAGGATGGGCGATTAATAATCCAAATCTTCATCAAATCGGAGTATCACAGGAAATGGCTTACAATGGACGTGGCTATAATCCTCAGCAACAAATGCAAATACAACAATCACCGGATGAGTCTTTCGGGGGCAGTGGCTACGTCGGCTTGGACCAACAACTACCATTCAACTACAAGACGTCCGGTTATCAATGGAGCAATTACCAATCGCCAATTTTTGAACAGAACGTCAATAAAGTCAATGACGAAGCTGCCTACGATATGATTAGAGCTCAGAACGTTTTGCCGCCCAATTACGAGCGTATGGAACTTTTATTTGCGTATTTTGATTTTTTTTTTTTTTTTTGTGTTCGTTGGCATCGTTCTAGATTTTATAAAATTCATTGTCCAACCGCACCGTCGACTCGAAAACCACGAGTCAACAAGAACATTGAACTTGCCGCTAATGCCGTTAGTTAAAATTACCATCAAATCGTTAGATAAAATAAGTCTTGGAATGAAATTGATGTAGATTTTAGTCAATATATTAGTTAAAACGTGATTAAATTTAAGATAATATCAAACTACATCGTTCGCCGATATCTTGATATTATCAGGCTACAGCCTCAATCCTAACAATTATAAATGAATTATTATATTAATTATTGACTGATAAGCCGAACAAACGATATTTCATTAATTTTATTCGTGTTATACAGAAGAGCGGCCGTCACGTATTTTCAATCACAAAGGGCCAAGTATGCACTTCGATGATGTCGAAGCAGTGAAGTAAGTGAGCCTTTCGTTATTTCATTTCAAAATATTCATGCGTAAGCAAACATTGCTTAAATTCATCAATCGACAAACATCATTCGCTATTTTCCATGCTTCCTTCAAATTCAATTCTGTTTAGATCATTTGCAATTTCAATTGTCGATTCAAATTATCGTAAATAACTAGCTCGCGCGCATCTCCATTCGGTAATGATAAACGGCTCAGTACCGAGAAAATAAACAATAAAAAAGATAAGCGAAAAAAACTACTACTACTACTACTACTACTACTACTACTACTACTACTACTACTACTACTACTACTACTACTACTACTACTACTACTACTACTATTATTATTATTATTATTATTATTATTATTATTATTATTATTATTATTATTATAAGTAGTAAAATAAATTGGACGAATTAGCTTTATAAAGTGAAAAATACTTTTACATCGCAGCGGCATTTACGGACAGGATTCCTCCAATCGAGGTTACCTACCGTATTATCCGATCGCCAATCACCATGAGAATTCCTGGCAAGATGGTAATTCGGCTCAATTGGTGCGTACGTCCGCTCCATCATCAATGACACGTCAACAGGAGGAGCAACCCGACGACGAAGCGAAAAAGCAATCGATCGCTTCAACCTCCGCATCACCGTGCGATGTGAGCATCCTCGATCTATTAATTAGTATGGAATGTATAAAATAAGATTTAACGGCAAAATAGAAGAATTGTTTCTAGATATTTGCAAGCCTGAGTGTGTCACTAGTGACTTTCTTACATTTATTTTCATATATATTCATATTATTTCTCTCCCGAGGACCGCTCGTTACTAATAACGAATCGCAAAGTTGCTTAATATCATTTAATACACGTATAACATTCTCATGAAATTCGTTATAATAGAGTATCTATGTAGTAAAAGCTTTTATAGGTAAATTTGGCTATTTATGCAATAAACTATTTCAGCCAGTAACGAAGCAGGAAGATGTTGCTAAGACGCAAAATAATAGTGAAAGGAAATTGGATAATAAAGAAAGTAATGGCACGAATCAGTCAATGATAACGAAGGAGAAAGATAAAAGTAATAATAAGCAGCAAGAAACTCATGAAAATAAATTATCACTTGAAAGTGACGCCAAAACGAATAATCATAAAGGTTTGTATTTGTACATAAATATTAATTGCCAAGAAAAAATATTTCACGCTCCAACGAATTGAAGGGAATTTTATCGATCTTTTAATCCCTGGGATGATTATTTAATTATCTTGTGAACGTCATAATTGACCAAACCATGGTCGTAATTCATAATTTTTAACTGCGATTTAATGAAACAAAAGAAAAACAACAACAAACAAAAAAAAAAAAAACAAAAAAAACTTCGTTAACCGTGCGTATACCTCATTGCTATTCACGTAGACATTGAATTTTCTTTAATCACATATATTAATGAATTTAAAAGGGCGAGAATTTTTTTATAAATCGGCGAAATCGAGCAAAAGACATCATTAATTAAAAGTATATTTTCATGTCGTGTCGATAGAAGTAGCCCCGTTGCTCAATCTGACTGATACAATCACCGACCGACAATACTCTCAATTAAACAACAACAACAACAAATTATTAACACAATTTTTCCAAACGCGCTATCGCGCTCTAATAAAATTGCACAAAACTTGGAAAATACTTAAATTTATTGTTGTCTTACCAATGACGGGAATACCGAATATTCGAATATTCGTTTACTTATTTCTATCTATTTACAATGCAAACCTCTACTTCCACCCCCACCCCCCACCCCCCACCCCCCACTGCCCGCTAAACCGCAAGCACAGTCGGTAAAATGCGAGAGATTAGATGTTTGCCGTAAACTAAAGGCCAAAAATAACAAAGATAAGAGTTTACTAGCCGTTACAATTCAGACATAATCAAATTAACGAGCTAACGTAACAACTAACTCGATTTAATCAAAGTCAATGATTAATTACGAGACGATGAGAAATGCAGATGCCCAGGGACGATGATCAGCACGGAGAATTAGGTCGTCGAGTCCGCGAAATAAGGTTCGCTCGTACGGCACATTAACAATATCGATTTTCCCAGCTCACGAGCTCGAGTTACGAACGCTGGCGGAGACGCAGCACCAGGAGCACAAGTTGGAATACCCGGCGGTAATGGAGCATATCCGCCACCACAGCGCTGAGCTCGACCATCTCGAGATGTCGCGACCCAAAGGTGCCGTTATATCCCTGGCACTCGGACTCACCGTTACAGCCGTCATGGCCGTCCTTATCGCCTGTCGGCTCCGAGTCGTCAAGCGCCGAGGTCGCGGCAGGGGTCACGACAACTACTCGCACGATGCCGACTACCTCGTGAACGGAATGTACCTTTGAGGCGCCCCGAGGTGGAGCCTCGTGGAGGAGCAGCTGCGTAATAAGAGAGTCCTGGCGGCGACGATGATGACGACGTTGGCTGATTTAATTAACGGAGTGGCAGGAATCCTGCCCGGCAAAGTCGCTCGATAAATTGATCGAAAGCCGATAAGCTACGCTGCTGAAACGCAGACTTTTTTTTTTCTTTTTTTTTTTCTTTTTTTTAGTCGCCTGTCTCTTGGTACGGATGAAATGAAATTTCACCCGCGCCCGTTTGCTCGGCAACGGTCACCAAGAACCGTGAGAGAAAAGTCGACGAGTCCCTCGACACTCTTATGCTCGCCTGATACTTTCTCTGAAATGCCATGTGTAGGAAGAGTGAGTGACGACGACATTCCGCAAGACGTTGATGATTCGCGCGACTTACGCTTTATCTCTAAAATATGATTTGAAAATGAAGGAAAAACCATTTGGTTTCCGTTACCTCCGCTTCGACTTGAAACCATCGAATCTTAACGTCTAAATTATGGTTTTCCTCGTTCGAATTACAGATGAATAAACAACAATATTTGTGCATAAATAATCAACCGCTAAATTTTATATGAAATTAAGTTGTTCTCGTTGTCGTTGTCGTTGTCGTTGTCGTTGTCGTCGTCGTTGTTGTTGTTGTTGCTGTTGTTGTTGTTGTTGTTGTTGCTGCTGCTGCTGTTGTTGTTGTTATTATTATTATTATTATTATTATTATTACTATTAACATCATCATCGTCATCATCATCATCATCGTCGTCATTATAATAATTATTATGATTATTATTATTATTATTTTTTGTTTTTTACTATTATCTATTTCGCTGCCAGTTTGCACTTATATAAGAATAAGCTTAACATGCGATATAATTATAAGTAACAAAGTATCTTTTAATAAAAAATGTATTATGACACTGAAATCGATCGAATAATAAAAAAATTAAGGAAATTTAGTACAATTAGTAAATAATATTGTGTGTGAGTGCGAATAAGAAAAATTATCAAAATAGTATGATATTTTTCAAGAATTAATTAAATTGATGGATAATTGATTAGACGAGGAATTAATGACTGAATAAATTGTTAAAGTTTCGATAAATTTTTAAGACGTAACATTGACATGCGTTGTATATTCGTGTGCGCCGATAAATTATTACTACTTTCGAGCTAATAAGGGCTGGAATTTAGAATAGGCTTTTATAAAAGAAAAAAGTTTTTAATTTAAAAAAAAAAAAAAAAAAAAAAAAAATAGTAAATATGATATCTGTAGTAATTAATAGACCTATTCAAATTAATATTTAAAGCTTTAAAAAAAATTTTTTTTTTTTTTTTTTTTTTTTTTTTTTTAAGTCGGAAAATAAATCTTGAACAGATATATTCTAAAATACGCTTGAGAGCATTAAACTTCCTAATAGAAATTTTGATACTATTATAGAATTGAATATATATGAGTTTATTAAAATTTAAGAACGTTTTGGATTATTCGGCCTATTACGTTCAAAAGGTAAGTTTAATGGCACATTCTAAGATCACTAAGAACAATGAATAATGATAAAAATATTAACGCGAGTTAAGAATTTTTATATTTACGGTAATATTAGGAGCAAAATTAAGAGCATTTACCATTCCGATAATTGGTAAAAACTTTCAACCATTTATCCACATTATTTATATAGAGCCACTTGTAATAAATAAACATGTCAAAGTATTTCAATTGTACAACTTTTTTTTTTCTGAAAAAACAAACAAACAAACAAACAAACAAACAAAAACGATAAATGTTTTATTTGCAGCATTTGAATGTATATCCAAATAAACTGAAAATACATGGAGAAACATAAATAAAAACAATTACTTGCCTTTGGACAATTATTAAACGATACTAGGATATAGAATTGATATATATTTTTTGTAAACGTTTAAATGAAAATATATAAAATCAATTGATTATAAATCATAGCAAAATACTATAATTTATTTTATAAATTTCGTTATAAATTCGGGTTTAAATTTAACGCATATTATTAATCCTTCGAATAAACAAGAAAATTAATTCTTCGAAGACGAATGACCTTAGTGTTTTATATGACAGTTTAGCAATAATAAATGATAAACATAAATGCAATTCATATATTGTTAAACACTATGTAATAAATTTTTTAAGACATTAGAATATTTTCGTATTTATTACAAAAACATCTTAAGTGTTTTCCAAATTTATAATATTTTATGTTTATCATTATTTTAATTGAACTTGCTCGTACGAACGTATACAAGCTTACACGTATACAAAAAAAAAAAAAAAAAAATAAATAAAAATTAAAGAATAAATAATTTAAATGCACATGCGTATCAATGCGATGTAAACTTTCCACTTTGATTCACTTATATTTGTTAATGATAAATGAATTCGATCCATTTTCTTATGATGTATTTAAAAAAAAATTTTGTTAAACTAATATGCTTATACATCAGAATTATTTTCACTTTGGAAATCTGATATTTCAAATATAGAATTATGATTCTATAAATCTTGATTATTATACCTTATTTCATACTATTAATTGAATTAATTATTTTTTATCGAATAAACAAATGACTAATAATAATAAATAAAGTGAAATAAATTTTAAAGATAATTTAAAGATAACTACAGGCATTTACCGAAATATTTTAGCATAATATTTATATGTAATTGGCGATTTTATTAATTATATCAAAATTCAAATCGGTATTAGCAATTGTTCAAAGCCAGATGAATGATAAATCCTACGTAATTATCATTTAGTTACAATAGAAATAAATATAAACTTGAAATTATATACTCCTAGGAGAAAATATATTTTCATAAGTATGCGATCTAGACATTTAAACATTAATATATAGGATGTTTATAAAATTTCAAGGAAAAATGAAAAATTAAACTGTTGCATTGTTAATTAATATGTAATTATGTACACTCGTGAAAGAATTGTCCGAATGACCTTAAAAGTAAACTATTTGATCAATGTAAGTTACACTATGACTGCAGAATACTCTTGGCATTTCTTTGTATTTTTATTAATAAATGCTTCGAACATTAGCTCGCTTTCTATCATTAAGGTTTTCACAATTTGTATGTAATTTCAAGAAAATTAAATTTTAAATCTGAAAATAGCATCAAATATAATTCCTTTCTACATATTATGTTCCCTCATTCCTTCTTCCCACATCCATTATTAACGAATAACTATATTTGTTATGAATTTATTCGTAAATTCGTTCTATATAGGAATCAGCAAAAGGAATTTTCATTCAAACGCTTTCATTTATTAATTTCAATCCATAATTTAAACTCTATTACCTTCACTTTCTATTATTATGATTAAGATCAGTTAAAAAAAAATTTTTTTTAAAAAAAAAGTTTTTTTTTTTTTTTTTTTTTTTTTTTTTTCATGAATAAATATTATCAAAAATTCTATTGCCATAACGAAATTTATATTTATAAGATGTGTACTTTTTTACTGATTAGTAAATTAAATGATTTGAATATAGTTTTTTTTAAATCTTATTATGCATTTTTATTAGGACAGTGTTAATTGTTTTTATTTGTAATGTTAATACATACATTTACCATTTTACCTCTATGAACATTTTCAATTAATTGTCAATGTTTAATTAAGCCGATAAAACAGCCAATCTGTATAAAAGAAATTTATTAAATAAAATCTTTATTGTTATTCACTCTGTGTGTTAAAATAATTTTAATAGTGCATATGCACATATAAGTTAAATGTATTCAAATTTCAGTATTTGCTTTCTTTTCAAGCCTAATAGAATTTGAAAATTCTTATTATTTAATTCAATTCCTCTCTATTATCGATGGTGGGGGGGGGGGGGGGGGGGGGGGGGAGGGACAAGGGAAACTTATGAAATATTCTATGAAATAACGAATGATAAACGATAATATTTTTATCCAATAATAAACATTTTTTAAATATAATTATAACAATTCTCAACGTATAATAAATATTTAAAAAAAAAAAAAAAATTAAATTAAAATCTTCTTGATTTCTGGACAAAAATAAAAAAACGAAAAAGAAATTTTAACAGAAATAATAGACGCCTCACTTCATGGCATCTGCTTTCAAAATGACCAATATTTAATGTTTTTCAATATTAAAGTTAACGAGATAATTTGAATACAAATTATATATGTTGAAAAGATTTTTCATTAAACATATACAATCAAATATTAATTTTATAACTATGCGTTCTCTATAACTAAAATCTAAAACTGCGACAATAAAATATCAATCTCATTTGATTAATACGAATATTTACTTTGTATTTTGAAAATAATTTAAGCTTTTATTTCTTATGACAAGGCATTAGCACTCCATTTTTATGACTAAATCACTTTTCAAAATCACTTTTTACGTGCTTAATTAATTTCATACTTCATTAAATTTTATTTAAAAACTTCTTTATATTAGAAGTTATTAGAAAACTCAAATATATTATAGTAGTATTTGCATATAATATACATATTTTCAATTCAATATTAATAAGTTCTTATATAACTTAATTTATTTAAGGTCAGTAAATACATGTGTATTAGGCAACTTATTTAAATGCAGCTTGGCGCTTCATAATTATATTTGAGGAAACGATTGAAAATTAGTTTTGAAAATACTCTAACATTATAATGACAAATCTGTTATACTTGTCTACAGGATTTGATTTTAAATGGAATTAATATTTGCAATGTTTCCCAAATATATTAACTATGGATATTTGAAACGTTGATAGCTGCTGTATTTGTCATTATTATCATTAGTAAACTTTTTCTCTTAATTATGGATAATAAACTTAACTTATTATTTACCATTATTGATTATGGGTATTTATTATTATTATTATTATTATTATTATTATTATTATTATTATTATTATTTATTATTATTATTATTATTATTATTATTATTATTATTATTATTATTATTATTATTATTATAATTATTATTATTATTATAAAAGAACTTTCCTAATAATAAATAATAAATCGTATAAGTTCTTCATTGTGATGCAAGCATTGGATTTTTTTTCTATTTGATTACTTTATACTAAAAGCAATAAATTACTCGTACATGACAATATCAAATTTCAAAAAAATTAATTTTTTATAGTGAATTATAAATGGCGAATCAATCAATCGATCACGAAAAAAAAAAAAAAAAAAAAAAAAAATTCCCATAAAAAAGTAAAAACGATAAAGTATGATAATTATAAATATGTTATTTCGAACTTACGAAAACTATTTTTTATTTAAAATTGAATAAAGTCATTTCAAATGTAAGCTTTCAATTGTTAAATTAACCTTCCAAATTTTAGTAAATATTTTGACAACTTATTCTAAATTTTCAAGTACACGCATATCCTTATTAAATAATTTTTAAAAATATAAAATGCGTGAAATACTAAATTTACAAGTAGGACAATGCGGAAATCAAATTGGTTCAAAAGTAAGTTTTTAATATTAGCTTAAATTTTATATTTAAATACACATTAAAAATAGATGTAAAAAGTGCATATGTGAAACATAATACTGAATTTAAGAATAAATATAAATTATGATATCAATATGAAAAAACATAGAATACGATGTAGCATATATAATAATAGTAATAATATAAGTGAAATGCTATGAACGTGCTATTAATAATTTGATAAATTACTATTTCTACATAAACACACACACACACACACACACACACACACACACACATCTATATATAATTTACATTGATTAAATACAAATTTTTAATAATCATTCGTAGAGAATGATAAATTTTTTTAAATAACAAATCTAATTCTTAAATCTCTCTCTCTCTCTCTCTCTCTCTCTCTCTCTCTCTCTCTCTCTCTCTCTGTCTCACTCTGAGTATACACCCGACGTTGTAAATTATACGAAAAATTCCTTTGAGTTTTGGGAGGTAATAGCGGAAGAACACGGCATTCACTCAGACGGCAAATACCATGGCACGAACAGTCTTCAGATGGATAAAGTAAACGTGTTTTTCCATGAAACGATAAAAAAACGTTTCATACCGCGTTCGATAATCGTGGACCTTGAGCCCGGAACGATAGACGCCATCCGGGCGAGCACCTACGGGAGAATATTCCGACCGGACAACTTCATTTTCGGGCAGAACGGGGCGAGCAATAATTGGGCCAAGGGCCATTACACCGATGGTTTGGAGTTAGTCGATGAGGTTCAGGATGTTTTGCGTCGCGAGGCCGAGAGTTGCGACTGCCTCCAAGGTTTTCAACTAACGCACTCCCTGGGTGGCGGCACTGGTTCCGGTATGGGTACGCTCTTGCTCTCTAAGATCCGTGATGAGTATCCAGACAGGATAATCAACACGTACTCGATTATGCCGTCGCCCAAGGTACAGGACACCATTGTCGGTCCGTACAATGTCCTCCTGTCCCTTCAGCAACTCGTCAATCTCACGGATTCGAGCTTTTGCATCGATAATCAAGGACTCTACGATATATGTCACAGAACCCTAGAACTCCCTAGTCCCTCATATACGGATCTTAATCACCTAGTTTCGCTCACCATGTCCGGCATCACCACGTGCCTTAGATTTCCAGGTACGCGATCCCTTTCGTTCATATCCCTAATATCGGATTAAATTTAACAACCGAATTACTTATAACTATAACAAATAAATTGATATTCATTAACCATTGATTTGATTGAATGTCTAATGAAGGCCAGTTAAACGCTGATTTACGGAAGCTTGCCGTGAACATGGTTCCCTTTCCAAGACTTCATTTTATATTGACGGGTTTCGCTCCACTTGTACCAAAGGAGAACAAATTGTACAAAAATCTCACTGTACAAGAATTGACGCATCAGATGTTCGATCCAAGAAACGTAATGGCCGATTGCGATCCACGAAATGGAAGGTAATGTACACGTATCGATGCATTCATGTATGGGCGTATTGCGTATGATCTAAGGGAGGAAAATTAAACATTGTACTTACTTCGCGATCGCTGATTATCTCGAACGATTGGCTGAAGAATTCTAAAGAATCCCGAAGAAGAAACGTTGAATTGAATATTGAATAAAAAAAAAATAAATAATAATAATAATAATAATAATAATAATAAATATAAATAAATAAATAAATAAATAAATAAATAAATAAATACTCTTTACTAATCATTCAAGAAATTCGTCTGTATTTAAGTTTCCTAGTTTTAGTAATTTTATGTATGCACTCGATTAGCTAATACGTAAGTGTCTCCGCCACACCCTCGGAATATCTAAGAATTAAACAATAAGTACAAAAATTAATATTCTTTCTGCAAATCTCACTTTATAGTGTCAAAAAATCAATCATTCGAACTAAACCGATAGGGCGTATTCAGCAATTCCAATGTCAATTGTTACAATTACAACAACATCATAATGATTAATAATAGAAATGATAAGTTAATAGATTAATAAAGTTTCTCGATCATTGTACACTTTATTTAAGCTTTTAACTTTCATTTTCAATCCCATTACGTATAATGTTATTATAATTAACCATATTCTTAAACATGCGATTGTTCCTGTAATTACCTGCAATTTCAATAATCATCTTTACCAATATTTTGATAATTTCTCGTCCCTTGCTTTATAATTAATATAAACATCATAATAATTACAATAACAAACGTGCCAATCTTTTCTCTCTTTTTTTTTTTTTTTTTTTTTTTTTCACTTTCTATTAGGTATCTGACAGTCGCGATCGTCTTCCGGGGCCAAATGTCCATGCGCGAGGTCGACGACGAAATGATAAACATTCAAATGAAAAACAACTCTTACTTCGTTGATTGGTTGCCCAATAATGTGCAAACGGCCGTATGTGATATACCCCCTAAGGGTATCGATATCGCCGGCACTTTCCTCGGGAACAACACCGTCATCCACGAGATTTTCAAACGAGCCTCCACGCAGTTCACCCTCATGTTCAAGAGGAAGGCCTTCTTGCATTGGTTCACCGCCGAGGGCATGGACGAGAACGAGTTCGTGGACGCCCATACAGATCTGCTTGACCTCGTAGCCGATTACCAGCAATACGAGACGATCGAGTCCGAACAATATACCATGGATGATTTTGAGAACGATTTCGAAGAAGTAATGGAGGAGGATTAATCCGATCGAGCGACGATCTAGTTGATACGCAACAGTGGAGCTGAGCCGGGTTTAATTATTTAACTATTGTCTTTATATCATTTCCCTTAGCATTTTAGTTAATTTTGTTGAAAATTTTAATATGAATCGTTTCTTCAAATGTCTATGGTGTCATATCTCATATTAAATAATTATATAGGAAGCCATTCAATTTTATTGTAAATTATTTGTACAACTGAATATACTATGATCGTTTACCTAAACCATACGTTTTTGACTCATTTAATGAAAAAAATAAAAAAAAAAAAATTTTTTTTTTTAATATAACCTCCTTCCCCCTACCCCCTACCCCTGCCCCCTCTAACAGAACTACTGAACATAAAACAAAACTTAACGTGTTAATTAAGCATTTTTTATTGGATATTCAAACTGTTGGATAATTGAAGGCTACGTGAAACTGGAATGCGATACAAATTTTCCAATAAAAAGATTGAATGTTCAATCCGATTTTAATATACTTTTCGATTTCTTAATGTGTTCATTTTCTATTCCCAAAAATATCATATTACGCGCGTTTACTCATTTAGATGGTGTGACGTAGAAAAAAGTGTGCAAAAAAGCAATAAAAAAAAAAAATAAAAAAATAAAGAAAAAAAAAGAAAAGAAAAAAAATTGGTAACAATGAAATGAGTATCGCGTTACCTTAGTAACTGTTATTATAACTTGGAGGAGATGGACATAAAGTATATGCAATTCAAGATGAATTAATTATTATTCCCTCGTTCGTTAAATCAATGCACTTTGCGCGTCTCCCCGCACACGTGCATAAAGTTAAAAAAACAACAATAACAAAAAACAATAATTATACAAAACGAATTATCCAAACAAATATTTCATTTCATTGCATTAAACTAATGTGCAATTTAATGAATATATCATGCAGGATCTTTTATCTATTATCTCTTTCTCTCCTCTATAGCGCATAATATCGACGATATATTAAAATATTAGTCATTTATTTATGAAATTATCGAAATTACATTGAATTAATATTCTTTCAAATCGGCCAATCAAGTCGATCCATTTAATCTAAATGACACTACTCCGCTCATTATTAATAATTGTGAAGATTTATATGAAAGAAGGATGTGCGAATAAAATTGCTCAATCTGCATATAAGCATATTTCAACAACGCACACTCGCACACTCACAATATATATCGATATATCAGCTACTACGCGATTAATATTAAGGCAAAATGCAAACGCCAAGTGCGATCCGGGAATTCTAATACTTATATTCCGCGCGTATACTCATCACTATAATCACAGTCTGGCCAATCTACAAGTTTCCAAGTAAATTTGTATAATTCAAGAGACTTAAGCTTGCGTTGGCAATTATTCGAACATTTATTTGCTGTGAAATCAAATGAAATCGCCAGGAATGGGCTTATGAACCTTCGGGAACCACGTGCTTTTGAACTTGGTTAAATCGATTTTATTTATGTAAGATTTGTGAACGAAATAGTTGCGTAAGTGAATAAGAGGCATCTGCGATTAATTTTCATACCTACTCTCATTTATCTCTCACGGATGATGAAAATTATTCGTAAAACATAACTCACCGTACATACGCACGCGCCCGTAACCAGAATATATATATGCACCCACACTAGCGTGCGCCCTCGAAATAATCGTGTTCATTCTCAAAACGCCGCTAATCAGTCACGCCACAGCATTGCAATGTCAAAGATATTGCACACGACAAAGTTTATAAGAAAGTTAAAAATTGGCGACTGGAGATGGCCAAGTCCGCCGATTCAACGCACACATTGTGACATTTTATTGCAAAGAAATTGGCGTACGCGCAGTCTGTGTACTGTAACCAATGATAGGTTAGTTGCGTAATCAAGGACTTGATACTTTAATAAATAATTGCTAAATATTATTTGCGACTAGGAATTTAAAATTCATCGTTGTATATGTTTCAGGTATAATGCGAAGAATTATGCAAAACAATTGGATGTAAAAGAAAATACAAATTATAATGTGCACGAGCAGCTTAACAAAATTGCTGAAAAAATAAAATTTTCTGGTCATATTCTAAAGAGTGATGTGGAACAAATATTAAATACTGTTATAAAAAATGGTATGATTGCGCTATTATTTTCTTCAAAAATTTAGGTTTCATCATTTGATTAATAAAATATATATTACTTAAAAGTATTTGACAGTATGCTGCAATTATTTCTTCATGAGTAATGTTTAAGAAGCAAAATAATATAGCTCAATATATAAATTGTAGAATAGATTTTCGAATTAATATGATGACTCTTAGACATTATATTCAACCCTTATTGAAATTGCAATCAATCTTGACGTTTAGATTAAAATTTTAATCCTGGATATAATAAATGTATTTATATTTCATATTATAGAATTTTGTTACAATTTGGTGCCAACATATTCTCAATGAATGTCTCAGTTGTGCAATTTATTATTTATTATTTCTTATTTCTTTTCTAACATTCAAGGAACTATTATTTATTAAATATTACCTTTATTATTAGGAAAAAAGAAAAGCATACTGTTATAAATCATTAATATACATTTCTTTTTTTTTTTAAATTTAAAATTTTTTAAAAAAATAATTATGTTTATATTTTATATTTATTTGACTTTAAAATTCTCCATTCTTTTGCGTATCGGTAAAGTTTAAACTTATAATATATATTTTTGTTAATCATACATGTGCAAATCCATCAAAATATGGTTTTTAGACAAAACTGCAATTCTTTAAATTATTATTGCAAAAACATTGCTATTAAATGTACTAATTCCAATAGCATCCTTAATTAAATAAGTTAATATCGTCGTTTATAGGCACCTTGACACAGATGCAGGCTTTACTTTTACTTCGTACTTGCAATTATTTTACATTCTATGAAAATTTAAAAACAAGAACAACATTATGTAATAATGTCTGGAGTACCATAAAAACACTTGGTAAATACTTATACTATGTAAATTTAAATATAAATATATATATATATATATATATATATATATTGTGCGCGTGTGCGTGCGCGCGTGTGTTTAAATTATTAAAATTAACTAATTATATATTTTTAGATGTTAAATTGGATATAAATTGTTATAATGCTTTGATACTAGTCTACCTTGAGAATAATATAGATTTTTCACCAAATGATATTCTAACAGAATTAAAAGAAAAAAATATACAACCAAATTATCTGACTTATCAAAGATTTGTTGATCAATATTGTAGGAAAGGAGATATTGTTGGTGTAACGAAAATTTTAGAAATAATGAATAATGAAAATATCCCCATAAATGAAACAATTTTTAATTCTCTAATTCAAGGTCATTCAGTATTTGGGTAATAATTTTTTTATTTTTTATACAGAATCATAAGTATAATTTTGTCTTAGTATTAAAAATTTTGTAGTATAAATTATTCGGCTAATTTTCTCTCTTATAATTAGAAATGATTCCAATGCACTTAATATTTTAAATATAATGAAAAAGGCTGGGATTGATCCAACGTCCTCCACATATGCTAACATTTTATGTATTCATGCTAAGAATGGTAAAATAGATGATATAAGATCTGTGCTTCAAGAATGTAAGGAAAGAAGGATTCATTTTATGAATACAGATATACTAAATGTTATATACACATTGGCAGTCAATAAGCATTCCGAGTATATCGAAGAGGTATGATTATAATATAAATGTTGCGCACACATAATTATGGTACACCGTGTTTATTATTTATAAATTGAAAACATACGTGACACATTTAATAAATCAATGAATTATGCAATAATCAATAATTATACGGCTGAGTAGCTTTATATGTACATTTTGAATATTTATTATTTCTTCATTATTCGGATATAACAATTCGGATATTTAAATTAAATTAATATTTACGGATAGAACGTCAATAATTATAACAATTAATAATACAATAAATATTCAAAGAAGAACATTTGAAATGCGTTTTACATTTTTTATATTATAGTTCATTAAAACTTTAGCCATATTGAGCTAAACTATAAAGACAAATAGATATTAATAATATTATAACAAAAATATTTTCATTTTGTTCTAGTTAACAACATATTTAATTAAAAATATGTCATACAATAAAATTGTAAATAGGTATGTCCAATTATTAATTGAAAGTCACAACGTAGACGCAGCTTTATTATTATTCAAAACAATTGCACAATTATTCAACTTTATTTACAAGAAAATTAGTTATCAGTGATTTGGTAAATGAAATTCAATAAAGCAATATAAACTCGGTAAATATTAATAATAAATTTGATAATATATTATTTATAGGATGTTGAAACGTTGGTTAAATATTGTGGAATTTTAAAACAAGAAAAAATTGATGCGAGAGCATTTGAAAATGCTGTATACTTTTCTTACCAAAACGATAAACCTGATTTTGTTATTCCACTGTTTGAAGAATTGAAGGAATTAGGAGGAGATGTAAGGGAACACTATTTTTTCCCATACATGGTTTATAATTCAAAGAAAAACAACTTACATGGTAAATATAGTATTTAAATATAAATGTAAATATAAAATTTTAAAATGATTGCGTATGATGTATTTGATATATTTTTTATTTCAGGAACATTGGATATATTGAGAATAATGTTTTGTAAATTTAATATTAAACCAAGTATAAGAACATTGATAAATTTTGTAATTCCTAACATAATGGAACCTCCTGAAAAAATAATTAGAATACTCGAGTCTTATAATATATCATTCACAAGAAGTGCCAATGCTGTACTATTTCATTTACTGCAACAGAATAAATTAGAAAAGGCTTGTTCATTTAGTAAGTAATATTTGTTTTTATTACAAATTTTTTATCACCTATTATATGTCACCATATAATTCTATAACGGATAATTAAAGTATTTATTGGTAAATTAATCAAAATCCATAATATCATTGTTATGTTTACCAAATGTTTTCATTATAGTATCGCAAACAACTCATGCTTATAAACCAAAACAACTAATAGATAATCTAACAAATGCCTTAAATACAACCAAAGATATAAAATCATTTATGAAAATAGTTGACTACAATTATAACACACTTAAGAACGATTCTGAGAAATTTAAAGATGATTTTTCTAGAGAAATGAATGGTGAAACGTTCGTTCTAACGCAACTAAATGATATTATAAATAAAATTTCAAATGTACATGGTCACATTGCTATAAAAGAAGTAAGTTTTTTGATCATAATACTCCTTTATTTATAAAGTTTTTTTGTATTAAAATTATAATAAATTTGCTTATATTTTCCTATTTATAATATTCAATATATTTCAATAATGCAGCATTGCAACGTATTAACTTTTTCAAAATATTCCTTTTTTTAACTTCAAATTTGTATTCATTGCTAATTATAAAGAATAAATATCGTCCAGTTATTTGTAACCATTTTGAAGCTTCGCCATACTTCTTCTCTATCATTAAAATTTATTCGAAACAACAATGTGTTTATTCTAGCTTATGATAACTTGATATTTTAATTGTATAACTAACTGGCGTTAAATACTTATTGGCCACTACTGTATAAATATAATTTTTTATTATTTATTAATGTTGATTATTCCACATAACTGCTAGAGCTTTATAATATTAATTACTTTCCTATATTATCTGCAACCATTTAAAACAATTCTCCGTATTACTTATATAACAATATAAATCATAAATTTCTGATAAATACAATTTTAGATGCTAGGTTATATGTGTAAACACAATTTGAAATTAAATGATGCCGTAGCTGATAAAATGAAAGCTTATTTAGGTCAATATATCGATCAAACCACAACATTTTTTCTACAAAAATTAAAGTCAAATGTACAAGAAGAATCGGAAAATGTATTTGAAAATAATGATACAAATTCTGTAAATTCTAATAAACATTTGCTCGAGGTTAAAACTGCTATTGGGAACAAAGATACAAAGACTGTTAAACATTTAATTCAGGTAAGAATATTGATTTGGATGATCATTTAAATTGAATTAAATTAATAATTGTTTGTACTCTTTTAGAAATTAGAAGAAGAACAGATAAATGTTCCCCCCGCCTTTGCTGAGAATATAATTAATTTTTTTGCTAAAATAGGTGATTTCAAAGAAGTTGAGAAGTGGTTGCAGATAATAAGTAAAGACGAAGATTTGTATAAGATGGATAGCGATACAATAATGCATTGTGTCAATATGTATCTCAAAAATAAAAACTTAGATGGTAATTGAAATATTTTTTGGAAAAACATTTTAATAATTAATTTAATTAATAATTTAATAGCATGATGTATGAATTGTATACAGTTGTAAAATAATTAAATGGGACTGTTTACAGATGCAAGCAAAGTATTAAAATATCCATGTCTAAAGAAGAGTCAATTCTTAGGAACTGAGTGTATGAATGCATTTGATTCATTATGCTTCCGACATCCAGACCGAGTCATGGAAGTATTCAAGACGTACCTTAATTTTGATGGATTACAAATATCTAATGAAAATTTGGGATCATTTTTAATAAAAAAATTGATAAGCCTGTAAGTAAGATGTATTTCAATGTTTAATAGATTAATTATTATCTTTAGTCTGTTGAAAAGAAGTGTTGAAAAGAATGTAATTAATAACAAACTCTTATATTTTAGAAACTTCTTAAGAGATATATAACAAATAATTATATAAATCATAAAATAAATGTATAAATAACAATTATATTCTTTAATATAGTAAGGCCATAAATTTAATTTTTAGCAGCCGGCAAAACCGCTTTTTTCCCACCAGATTTTATGATTTTTTACAAATCAAAGGTGATATTATTAGGCCGATTTGACAAATCTAACAAATGAACTTCAATAATTTTTATGCAATTTTATTAATACACATGAACAATCTCCGCTTAGCATTATTTTTTTTTTACAAAATCCGATACAAATACAATTTTTATCGTCATAATTCAATAGATATCTTGTAATTTAAATAAGCAATATTTGAATCCATTGGTATCTTTTTATCAAATTATTAATTAATTACCAAATATTAAATATTAGTCCTTGGAAATTATATTATCTCTCATATATATATATATATATATATATATATATTAAAATAAATATATATTAAATAATTTTGTTCTAGGAATAAGAAAGATTATGCCATGGAGTTATATAAATTCATGAGTGAGAATCATAACATATTGTTACAGAAATTTATACTTTACAAGTTTTTCATAGATCATGAAGACGCTGACTCTCTGCAGCAAGTAACGGATTTAGCTGTAAAGATTATTGGAGAGAAAAAAGCGTTACATGAACTTGCTATTGCATTCAGCGAATGCAATAGAATACAACAAGCAAAAAAAATCTTCATGGTAAAATATTCATAACCGCATAATTTTAATTAAGAGATCAGTAAGCGCAAAATATAGATATTTTATAGATATTTAAAAAGATAATGAATTATATAATATTAAATATTTAAATTAATTCAATTTTGTAGTATAATTAGATGCAATGAGAAAGTATAAGTGGGGCGAATTATTTTGTTCGTTTCAATTGAGCATATTTAAAAGAAATTGATATCTTTGTGTATTCCAATTTTATAATATTGTTTGAAAAAAAAAAATTTCTTTTATTAACGTTATTATCCATATCTATGAAGAATAAGTAAACTAAAATATTTTATTTTTCAACTTTATGATACACGCATGAGAGCATTTGTATATTATTTATTTGAATTTCATACTCAATCGATAAAACAAATTGCGTTCTAATAATAAATAGAAATATGAACTACTCTTCGTCTAATGTTTATACTTTCAACATTAATTTTTAATGTACAGATAGATGGTATAATCAGTTCTCATGCAATTGAGCAAACTGTCGAGCTATACTTAAAAAAAAAGGAAGATCACAATTTGGAAAATTTATGCATGACCCTGAATGGTCTTTATGAACACGTAGATGATCTTTTCTTTAAATTAATAAAATTATATGGTTAGTAATATTTTGAAATTCTATTCATAATAATATACTCTATCTATAATTATCAGCTAAGATATTATTTTAACACTCATAATAGAACAAAATAAGCAATTTGACAAATGTCGGAATCTTTGGACGAAATTGCAAGACGATAGCAATACAACATCATTTTTCCTTCTAAATAAATTAGAGCAAAGATTAAACAAGAATTATTCACCTACAAACTCTTTGGATAATGATGTCGAAAAGGCCAATAAACAACAGTTGTAAAATAATTATTTTATTATAACTCAATATTTGAAATTCACTTTAATCTTTAATAATTGCAAGTTTAAAAGATTTTTTAGGAAAACTGAAGAAATGTATGAAAGGTTAAGTGTCATAACAAACCATGTCAACAACAATAACATTGACAAAGCTATACAACAGATTAATCTATTTCTGGATGATACAAACAAACTAAAACATAATGAGAGCTTTCTCAACATCGTTACAAATGTTGTCGTGAAATTAGTAGAGGCAGACGATCTTAGAACTTCTGCCGAATTAGCTAATAAGCTAATGAACACTGTGAATATCATTTTATTTTATGATTATACTATATTTCTTTTACTCTTGAATATGAGGTTAAGAAATGTTATTACTATTTTTGTAGGACACACATTACATAAAAGCAGTTAAGGCAATGAATGAATATTACTATAACAACAACAAATATAATGATTTTCTAATTAACGCAAATAAAATATATAAAGAAAATAATAATTTTAAATTCGATAATATATTTTATACTAACATCGCAGTTAAAGCAATGTTGAACGATCCAAAGACTACCGAAATAAGTAAGTTATAATAAGTTTATATGTAAGAAAAATCTTCTTCTTTTTTTTCTTTTTTTTTAAACAGTTTCAATTACTCTAGCTTGAATAAAAAAAAATTTCTATCTTTATATTAATTATTTTATATTAACTTTATAATGATTATTAAAGTAAATGTGAATTTATCTCATTTTTCATAAATTTCATATTCTATGTATCTTTCTTTTTTCTATAATTTGTTTTATATTTTTACAAGTAATCATGTATTCTATAAAAACTTAAAACTTATAATCGTTTTTTCAACTTATCTAACTATAATATCCTTATAGTAAATAGTCTATTAAATGATAATGACAAGAAAGACGAAATGCACGGACCGTTAAATGCAATCTGGTTAAAACTATTCATAGAAGATAATCCTGAAGCTGATGATATCTGGAATTCATACCTAAAGAAATCCGTGTTTCATGCTTTTGGTGCACTTGATTTATTAAATTATCTTAATTTATCAGAAAAATTTCCTGACTTATGTGAGAAAGTAATGGATAATACGACTTTGCAACTTCGATTTAAAAATAGATTTTTAACACAGTCATGTACAATACTTTTAAAATCTGGTTAGTATTTATAATATATGAAAGTATTCCTTACTATATATGTATGTACGTATGCATGAAGAATGTGCCTAAAAATCAGATGAACTCGCCTTCGTTAGGAAAAGTTGGGCAATAGAATACAAAAGATATTAAATAAATTTATTGTTAAGTTTTCATGCTCAGATAAGCATTAACACAATTATTCAAATTATTCTTACTTACGTTTCTGTATAATCTTGTTTGTTGTCTACATATTTTTATGTGAATTTATTTCATTTATTATATAGAGCAACTAATTGTTTTGTTTCAAATGTCAAATTTTTCGCACACATATTACCAATTAATTTAATATTACTTTCTCATAATTATGGATGAAAAAAGATATACTTTAAAAAAAAATTTGTTTAACTTATACTTAATAATGCCTTGTTATTGAATTACGTGTGCATGACAAATTAAAAATTTCAATTATATTAAAATATTAAATTAAAAGTCCAAAATAAAAGGTTAATCAAATTTTATTGTATTAATGAAGTAAGAAACGCATTGACTCTATAGATTAAGGTTCGTTTGAAAAGTACATTAATACTTATAATTTCTTTGGCTAAATAAATTATTTTGTCTTTAATCTACTTATTTAATAATTGAGAAGACTTTTGATTGTTTTTTCTTTTTTTATTTTTTTTTTTTTTTTTCTTTAATAATACCTAATATTTCTATTAATTTCTCATTTTTCTTTTTTTTTAATTAAACGTTTCAGAAAATACAAAAAAGTTTGAATTAGTATACAATTGTTTGCTTCATGGAGTGAAAATTCTCAAATATAGTGAATTAAATAAAAAAATACTAGCTTCGTTAGATAACAATTTAAAGGATGGACTTTCGGTGGAATCATTGCGAGACGAAAGTGAAAGGTAATTTTTTTTCAAATATTAAAATTATATATACACAAAAATTTATTATGAAACTGTTTTTACTTTTTAGATTAAAACAAATGGCCATTTAAATAGCGTATAGAAAATAATTAGAAAAAAAAATGCTTTAAAAATTTTTATATAAAAATCTATGTATTATATGATTGTTTAGTACCAAATCAAGTACTTGTATTAAAAAAATTTCAATAAATAGTTACATATTTGTTATTAATATTAATAAAAGTACTTGAATTAGACTGTAAAATATTTAGGATAATTTTTCATTTAAACATAAATTTGTGTTATTTTTAAACAGTTTGGCATTTTTTAGTAATATTTATCCGAATGAGTAAATGTTGATTTATTAATTATTGTGACAAATGTACATATTCTATAAGTGTGACATACAATTACAATAATAAATTAAACATTCTTAATAAAATAATTAGATTGAAATATATTTTTGCACTATTATTATATTTAATGTTTTTACCACCAAATTACCAAATTAATGAAATCTACTTACAACTCAACGGCAGTCTACATAATCTTAAATAAACTTATTATTATAACATAACTTAGTATTAATATGATAAAGTATGAAAATACATGAATTAGATTTTATAAAAGTTTATTTTTGTTAAATTATTTTTTTTCTTTCTTTTTCCCAATTATAAATGAGTTTACTATAAACATTATATAGTTCTAGGTATAAAAAATGCAGACATTTTAAACATACATTATAACTTTAAACAATCTGAGTTATCTAAACATATAAACCACATAACCACATTGGCATACTTTATTCATTATTTATTTCTTCACTTTAATGTATGTACATTGATGTAAAATTGAAAAAAAAAAAATTGCTTTTAAAAAGTTGTTATGTCGTTTTGGTACTTCATCTCAAAAGTAATATACACACGATAATATAATTTATTTCTAAGTAATTTGCACTGTCATCAAGTAAAAAATATAATTAAATAGATTAAAAATCTCACGACAATTATATAAACGTAGTTAGATACTTTGTCTTGTAGTATTTAAAAAAATACATATTAACTTAACTAAAATCAATGTATGTTAGTTAATTTACAAATATTCTTTTTGATTTATTACAAAAATTCATCACACCAGTCCATTAAACATTGATAGCAGTCATTGGATTGTTTTGTATTTGCTTGACACGTCTCCTTCATCCATTCTTGAAACAGTTCTCTGTGTTTTTTCAAAACCAAAAATTGACCAAGTACTACATACGCCTGCAATAATTATTTTTAATTCACTATAACGTACCTTAAATTTACATAAATTAAATTCAACTAAAAAATCTTAATACAATAGTTTAATCATGGTTTAAGCAAGTAAATGCTTATTGTAAAATAACTTAATTCTATTAATTAAACCCTATCATTATTATCACAAATATTTATAAAGGAAACGAAGCTTCAAAATTTTAATGAATAATATTAATATATAAACCTTATCAAAGCCAGCTGCTTCTAGCCGCTTTCCTAGTACTTCACCTACGCCTGCAAGATCTGTTACAGGTTTTTCTCCCATAGGTTCAGCAACAAAGTTCTTATGTTTTTGCGATGTACTTGACATTATTACTGAAAAATAAATAATAATTGTTGTTAAAAGTAAGATGTTGGCATATTTTTGAAAATTCAAAAATTCACGCTACGCAAAAGCTTAAAAGTGCTTTACGCCTAAATAAACCGTTCGCAAATAATACGTTTAAACAGGTTATAACCTAAAAATTAAATAAAATCTTTAAATTGAAAATAAACGTCTAAATTGATAAACATTACAACAACGCAACATAAAAAAAGCATAATGTTTTTTTTTCTTCCTTTAAAGCATTTTTAAATGAACTATGATAACATACCTTGTAACGGTCACTTGGATATTTTGAAAATGGAAACCGTATCAACTGATTATTTGCGATGAATCAACAAACCTAATATTTTGATACTGAAATTTCTTATCACACGCGAGCTTACCGATAAAAGGTACTGTTTTACTTATGCAAAGACAATAAACGCAGTCTCCCTTCAAATAACCACATCCACAAAGTTGCACCACTCGAAATGTCTGAAAGCAAACGCCGAATTACTCATCGGTTTACTTGCCATTAAAAACACGCTTTTACCGCATACGTAACCGTACGTAAAATGCACGCACACAAGTACAGGCTGCGGTAACACAGTGACAAAAACCAACCAACTCGCCCATCCTCAACCGAGTGCCACTGTTAAGCATTGTTTAACCATTTGATTTTTATCGGCTTATGCCGCCATCTGAAGTTGCGTTGTGAACTACGGACGCCGACATCGTCCCTCATGATTTTCGAATCTCGCGCTTCCTGTCTATTATATATATATATATATATATATATATATATATATATATATATAATAAATCTCCTATTAGCTATCAATTATTAGTCATCAATCAATCAATAGCGCGCAGAACTCATCGTCTCTGACAAACCTTCCGATTAAGTAATATTGCTTCTGCGTTTATTTATTTTACTTGACAATAATTACAGCATTTGCGTGCTCGTCGATAAAATTCAAAAACAAATGCCAAACAGTCGTGTAACTTAACGACTGCCTAATCATCCTTCATATATATACATATGAATTTATTTATTTATTTATCAACAGAAAGCCAAAATACTTCCTTCGTAATCCTCTTGCTTAATTAACTTCTTTTACTCAAATTTATATTCATGCCCCGTTGTTATCTACTTAAAAGTAATTCTTCGTGTTGCAAGGCGTTAGCAACTTCTTCCCTCATTCCACATGTTTGACGTCAACTTTCCTAATTGCCAAATCTCCTCCTATTCATTACTCTGTACATTTTTAACAATGTTTCACCTTACTCAATAGTGTACTCACTAAAAGTTATTTTAAATTGTATACAATTTATGTCAACATTTTAACCTAATATTAATTTTTCTTAAGGTTTTTTCTTTTTTCTTTTTTCACTGCATTGGAATTGAAATATATTTCGATGTTATTGACCAAGAGAGTTAGAGTTTTATTTATAAACTTCGGACATTATATTCGCTTTAGTCAATACTTGCTATTTAGACTACAAACTCTCCAAATAGTAATAATATACGATATGTAAGAAAAATGCATTCGCGCGTATGTGCATGTGTACGCGCACGCGTATTTGTATATAAACATTTAATGGTAATTGATCTATTAAAAAATTTGAAAGAATAAAGAAGAACCTATTTTGTTTCAAATTTAATGTCATGGAAATTTATAATTTGAATTAAATGTGCTTGTAAATTTATTCTTCATGCCCTTGGAGTTTACTTATCACTGATTTTAATTACGAGCTTTACTATTGGTTATGTGCATTGGGAACGTAGTGGAAATAAAAATCATGGATTAATCATGACGGCACTAGTACGTTCGGCAATAACAATATATTTATAACCTTTCTTAGAAATATTACAAAACACACGCGCGCGACACGCATATGGACCTGTTTAATGCGATTAATCATTGAAAATATTCGTAATTAGAAAACAGCTAAGTGCCTTAATTCATCATTTGTTGGTGACGATTTCCGTTAATGACAAAAATTCTTCACGCATCTCGCTATTGATGCTCTCTTAAATAAGCATTAAATGCATGTATAACTTTTATAAAAAGTTGTAAGCTTAACAACATTCTTATATATTTATAATTAATTGAATGTTTAATTTGATGTGAGATTTTCTGTGCTGTGATATAAAGAAATTTTAATTTACCAACTTCCATCGCTTTGAATTCAACGATGATAATCAACCCACAGGAATCAAAAAAACGTTCCATTGAAGAAGATTTCCAACCAGTGCTAGTACGAGTATCCTCGACAAGTTCTAGTTATATTGATAATTACATTCACATCAACAAAAACCAAGTACATAAAATTCTTGCCTACATTTATACACTTTTACACAATTTACCTCGAATTTCTTTTATACATGTTGTTAATTTTTAAGTTTAAGTTATTAGATATTGTTTTCTGAATGTTTTATGAATCGTGATATCAAATGAACAATTTATTAAAAACAGTTCGATGTAATTATTTAATACTATTATTCATAAAGAAAATGATGAATTGTTTTCTGTTCTATTGCATAAGCAATGATAAAAAGAATTAACGGATTTAGACTTAATATTTTAGTTGAACATCCATGGGACAACGGAACTTTACTATTTGTAATAATTAGTTAAATTATTTAGTTTTATTGAATTGAAAGTATAGTAATTGAATGTAAGTAACAGTAATTGCAATGGCTATATATTTTGTTGCAAATTTAATCAGACATTTCTTCTTACCCAACTCTATACTATTTATATTTACCTATATTGAAAAGATTTTAAATTTTTATTACGAATTTATGTATTGAATTTATGTACATTTGATATACTTTTCGTAGATTAACTTTAATATATAAATTTTATTTACAAATATTTAACATAAATAATAAATTAATAATAAATTATCATGTCTCAAAGTAATAAAAAATATATCTGAACTAGTTTATAGTCAAAAGCAACGGTCTTTTATAAATTAATATTTATACTTATAAACATTATAATTTTTATCAATACATTCTTATCGTCTTTGTTATTTCTTTTAGTTTAAAATTGGTCGAAAACCTGACAATGACAAAGTTTTACTCCATGTCTTGATATCTCGGAATCATTGTATACTCCAACAGGATAAAAATAATGGTAACTGGTTGGTAACAAATTTGAGTTCTACCGATACATTGCTGAATGAAAAATCTATTGAACGTAATAAGTCTGAAGTAATTAAAGAAGGTGATATTTTACAATTAAGTTTATCAGATAGTTTTAGATATAGATTTACATTAAATAAAACGAATCTTGAATCCACAAAGTGCCGGCGATTAGAAAGTAATGATTTTGAATTGAATACTGTTTTGCACAAGCGAAGATTGTTTGTCGAGAGTCAAGAAAATCAAAGGAAAAATCTTGAAACACAGCTGTGTGCTAAACAAGAAGAACAAGAGCAATTGAAACAAGAATTACAAAGGTTATTACAAGATCAGAAAATAACGAAAACTCACAACGAAGAGTTAAATAGTGAAATAATACAGTTACAAAAAAAAATTGAATTAGGAAATTCAATAGAATTAGAATTGCAGGAAAAATATCGAAATCTTTTGAGTAAATTGGAGAATGAACGTGTTAAGTATGAACAAAAATTAGAGGAAGAGAAACAAAAGTGGCAGAAGGCTTTGCAGGAAACAAAACAAGAAAAAGAAAAATTAGAAATGTCTATGGTTGAGCAAATGGAAGAATGGAGAAAAGAATTAGAAAGAGCAAAACAAGAGGAGTGGCAACAAAAAATAGAAAATTTGCTGCAAGAAGAAAAGAACGTTCAAATAAAGCTACAAAATGAGAAACAATTACTAGAAGAGAAATTAATTGAAATGGGAAAAACATTAGAAGAAAGAGAACAAGCAAAACAGCGTAATGGTAAGGTTTATTTATATCATTGAATGAATTTTTACTGATGTATTAAAAAAAAAATTTGACAAACAGGTCCAATTTATAATTAAAAAAGTGAAATGCAAAATTTTCATTTTATTAAAATCTTGTGTAATTTATACGAATTAATTTTCTATTACAATTACTCTTATAACATTAACAGTATTTCACTCACTAGATATAAAAGATTGCGTTGCGGAGGATGTGAAGAACATAAATACCGTTCAAAAAATCGCAATCGAAGTAATTGATCTAACGGCTGGAGTTGATGATACACAGCTAAACTTAGATAATTGTAAAAATGATGTAGTTCTTAATAAAGTTAATGACATAATGGATGAACAATTAACTTGTAGTATATGTTCCGAACTTTTTATAACTGCCACAACACTGAATTGTACACATACATTTTGTCGATATTGCATCGACTCGTGGATTAAGAGACGAAAAGAATGTCCAAATTGTCGAACGATGATAATATCAATGACTCGTTCTTTGGTAGTGGATAATTTTATTGATAAAATGCTTGAAACCTTGACTCCTGAACAAATGCAAAAGAGGAATCAACTAATTGAACAGAGAACAAGTAACAAATTGAAAATTACATTATAATAAATTATTATTGTTTTTCATTAAGATATTAATAATTAGACTTTTTATTTCAGAATTATCCAGAGTAAATGTTAAAAGGAAAGTAACGAGAACAAGATAAAATAAAAAGTAAAAAAAAAAAAAATATATTAATTATTTAAAGAATGTGATTTAACTTATTTATATGGTGTATAGTTATGATTTTTTTAAGTAAAATTAAAAATTAATTTTATTTCCAATAAGATATATAAAACTTTATTTTTGTAATGTCAAAAAATATATTAAATTAATGTATTAATATATGCGTTATATATTCTGAAATGTTTAACCAGAATAGAAAGTTTACATTATTTTGTAATTGTTTATATTAAACAAATATGATTCCTAATTATTTTTACTATTTAATAGTAAATGTATGATTTTATATTAAATTTTTTAACTATTACAAAGTAAATGAAAATATATTTTATTAATAAAAAAAATTGCTTATGAACAAATCATTTAAAAATATCTTATGCATAAATTATTTTTAAGCTGGATTAATAAAGCTAAAATTACTATTTAAATCGCTATTCATAAAATTTATTTGTTACTTTAAACATAAATTTATATTTCAAAATAATAATGAAATTCTAAAAATTTTAATTACGGTTTTAAGAAGAATATAAGACGTAAAAAAGAAATTCGTACAAGGTAAAATAATTGTTATAATATTTATACATATATATATATATATATATATATATGTGTGTGTGTGTGTGTGTATGCGCGCGTGTGTGTTTCTGTATGCGCGGGCGAGTTGTGTAGAGGGATATATATTTATATGCATATATGTGTGTATATATATATATATATATCTATATATACACATATTTGCATATATATATATATATACACACACACGCACGCATATATATATATATATATATATATATATATATATATGCATATATACATGATACATTTATTTCGACAAATAATTCCACCTAATATACTCTTCCTTTTTTTTTTAACTTTTGTATTAAATGCCATTAAAAGTAGGTGAAATTTTTTTCCTTCAAGTTGCTTATTCCCAATGTATTTTATACTAGTGGACTCACAACTAATGTACTTTTTGATGTACAGTTTCTTGCACTGTTTATATAATTAGATAAATAATAGAGAACTTTATATACATAATAATTTTAAAGGGGATTAAAAATAGTGTATGAGCTTTCGGAGCTTGGACAGTGACAGTAGTTTGTAGGCTGTGGTTGCTCTCGTTGTCCAAAGAAGGCGGTATTTATATATATATATATATATTTTTGTTTTGTTTTTGTTTTGTATATATATAAAAACTTGTGTACTTCTCTGTCTCTCTCACACACTATATATAGATGCGCGTATACTTATACTTATACACATACATTTGCAAGCGACATACAAATAATTTAATTGATTGGACAAAATTTATTTTTGTTGTTCACATAGTAATCGCTAGCTCTTAACGATAAAATTTGTGATTAGAAATAATGTGCTTTATAATCGCTCTCAAGGACTTCAAGGAGCAGCCCAAACAGCCAAAATAAAGGATTGAATCAGAGAATTGAAGTCTGGATAATTACGATTTGAGATTGCTTTGCGATTTGTACAGAAACGAACGAAATATGTATAAACTCAATCCCTATTATCAAAATAAATCCTGACATCCTTTCGCATAACTTATAATAATATAATAAATATTTACAGAAAAATGCATTTTGAGAAACGAAATCATTAACTGAGATATTTCTTCTTGACTACGATACAAATCTCCAATTCACGTATTTATATTTTATTTCGTGATGTACTTTACCAACGCAGCGATTTTTGACAAACCTCGCCGACGTATCAACGCTGCAACTCGAAAACACAAATACCACAACAATTGTCCAGTAATGTAAAATCGCATTTATCATTTCGTATTTAAGAATTAAAAGTCCGCCGAGTTTCAAAACAATAATAATGAAATTTTTCAAGTACCACAATCTCACCGTACTCAATAAAAACGCTCATAAAAGTAACGAAAACATTTGTTTTAAAAATTGTACGGCTACCATCGGTGAAGCACATCAGTAGCACATTCAAAAAATATGCCCCCG